TTATCAAAACCAATGGCAGTTTTAATGGAGGCATTTTGTTTAACTTGTTTTATGAGCAACTCTGGTTTGCTCTGTCTGCACCCTGCTGCGAGGGAATCCAAGACTTCGGGGTTCTCTTGGGATTCCGTGGGAAGGAAATCTTCTTGTCTGCTTTATCCATACCAGGGATCCGATCCAGATCTCAGACCCCCGGTGGCTGCGGGGGCGCGCAGAAAACTCGGTCAAAGGGTTTCTCAATCACTCTCCCCCTTCACTGTAGAGACACTTGTGTGTGTGTGTGTGTGTGTGTGTGTATGTGTGTGATTACCTGCGTGCACGCGCAAAGTTCTGGGTCTCGTGCATCAAGACTTGCACATCTGTTTTTGGCAGGGTCGCAGAGTTGCGGGGGAGGGACTACTTCAGTGTGTGTGTGTGTGAGCACGCTCTGCGCCTGAACTTTTTTGCGGAACTGTAATTCACAGCAGATGACCACTTGGGGGGATGGAGGCTTTACTGGGGAGGTGAGACAGCATCAGAGCGCACTGCACAAATTAATTTGCTCTTTAGATGATGCTGCTGAGTGATAGGGCCGTGTGCTTGATGTGTACGGCACTTTTCGCTCCACTTTTCACAGCAAAAAGTAGATTATGGAGTCGATCTCCAGCGTGAGAGGAGAGAGGGGCGACCGCACCTGAGCTACACAAAGCGAATGCCGCATCAGCCTCTGGCTGTGCCAGCCGCGCTGCGGGAATGGATACAGGCAATTTCCTGGCGGGCATTTGCTTTTTCCTGCTGTCGCTCAATGGGTTTATCTTTTCCTCACCGGCGACCAGCTTTTGTCCCGACCGCTGTGAGTGTCAGCACCCGCAGCACCTCATGTGCACCAACCGCGGCTTGCGAACTGTGCCCAAACCCGCCGCGCGTGTGCCCGAGGACGCGCTGATCTTCAGCCTTGGGGGTAACTTTATTACCAACATCTCTGCCTTCGATTTCACACGGTACAGTAACCTCATGCGGTTGAATTTACAGTACAATCAAATACAAACCATTCACCCCAAAGCATTTGAGAAGCTCTCCAATTTGGAAGAGCTGTACTTGGGACATAATCTTTTATCAAATTTTCCCGCTGGGACGTTACAGCCCCTGAAGAAATTAACTATTCTCTATGGAAATAATAATGACATTCAGAAAATCACTCCAGAGCTCCTTGCCAACTTGGATAACCTTGTTAAATTGCGTCTGGACGGCAACTCAATAGAAATACTGCAGGAGTCTGTTTTTAAAAGTTTGACCGGTCTACATTATCTCCATCTGGAATCCAACAAACTGCAGCATATTCACAGAAACGCCTTCTCTAAACTCACCAACCTGCGCTTTCTAAATCTGGCGCACAACAAGCAGTCAGTCGTGCGCAACGCCCTCACTTTTTCCCAACTCAAAGCTCTGACGACTTTGCTGCTGTCTGAAAATGAAATCCAGTTCGTCGGAAACCACGTCTTCCAAAATCTGAAAAGGCTGTCTAAACTGTCCCTCAGTAACAACAGAATCTCTCGCCTGGACAGCGGGGCCCTGAAGGGGCTGTCGGGCCTCAGAGAGCTTCTGATTGACGGTAACGAGCTGGAGGAGATCCCCGCCGGTCTCCTCGACTCCCTGGAGCGCATCGAGGAGCTGGACTTCAGTCGCAACCGGATTTCAAACGTGGACTCTTTAGCCTTTTCGCAGCTTAAACATTTGAGGGTGCTGAAGCTGAAGAACAACATGCTCACCAGTCTGTCCGGGGACATTTTTGCCCTCAACAACGTGCTTTACGACCTGGATCTCCATGGCAACAACTGGACCTGCGACTGTCGCCTGGAGGAGCTGAAAAGATGGATGACTGCTGCGCATTCTCAGGGCAAATTGTTGACTGTTTTTGTGCAGTGTCATCACCCAGCAACTCTGAGGGGGAAGTATCTGGACTATGTGAACAGCTCACAGCTGCAACCCCTTGGAAACTGGACCCACTTGTGTAGGAGTCAAGGTGGGCCTGAGGAAAGCCGGGGAGGGGGTGTGTTGGTAAAGGTGGAGGGGAAAGCGATGGGAATGGCAGATGCAATAAAGCAGGAGGAGAGAGGTGAAGAAGGCCAGGTGGAGGAGACAGAAGGTATAGATTTGAGACAGGGGGTCACGGATGGGGTGATAATGAGGAATGAGGGAGAGAAAAGGAAGAGAGAGGGACAGGAGGCAGTGGGAATTCAGGGAGACCAAGGGGGTCTAGAGGTGGCAGAACACTCGTCTTTATTGGAAAGAAAGAAACCAAAGAAAGAGTCTCAGAGCCCAAGGTCACGACCTGCTGCAGAGGCAGCTGGAAAACATGCCAAAGGGAGACAAAGGTCAAATGTAATTTCCAGAACTGTTCCACCAGCTATTTCCACACCAAGTCACGCTGGACACCAGGACAGGAACGCCACTGAGCCAAACACAGGGCTCACCACCACTTCTCCGGACCAGTCAGGAGAAAAGTTTGATCATCTGAGGTCAGATCAGGAGGAGGCTCTACCAGTTATCACCGATCCTTGTGTGTTCAACCGCCATTTCATCACTAATGTTTCAGTGAGTCAAGTGACATCTAGTGCTGTCACCGTCAACTGGGCCACCAGAGATCATCACCACTACACACCAGGACCTGGGCCAGGCCTAGATGAAGTCCACTACCGGATTCTGTTTGACCGGTTTGGCACTCCAGATCGTTTCCCCCGCTATGTTTACAGTCGTGGCACAGCTCGCTCTGTAACCCTTCGAGAACTCAGCTCAGATGTCACCTACGTGGTGTGCGTGGAGGGAGTAGTCGGAGGGTCCGTGTGTCAGGTTGCACCCCGTGACCACTGTGCAGGGCTGGTCACTCTTCCGGAGGGGTTCAGCCGCAGAGGCATGCTGACCTCTGACCTCCAGCTGGTGACGGTGGCCACGCTGGCCGGAAACGCCGTGCTGCTGCTTGTCATTGGCGGAGTCTGGCTGGGGCGGAGCCTGAAGAGGAGGTTGCAGAGGAGGAAGTCGGCCGTGCACGTTCGGCACATGTACTCCACCAGACGACAGTTTCGTCCCACCATGGCGACGGCCTCGGTGTCCACTGATTTCACCAGCTACCAAAGCAGTCGGCCAGCAAGACTCGCACCACTAGAAGAAGGGGACCTCATTGAGTTCCCCTGTGACCGCTTTCTGGACAGCAGCAGTGTTCGCAGAGACAGTGACATGCAGAGATTCTCTGACTAGAGCCAACAGGAGGATATGTTATTTGGTATGTGCTGCGATCTCTGCTCTATTTAGAATAAAGAAAATGCACACTGCAGTGTCACATTAAAAACATGGGTGTGTTTGTGGCTGTGAACAAACCAAGTCATTTCATCCCCAAGAAAACTTTTAAAGTCACAAGAGACCAGCTGAGCTCATCAGTGCCTTTTCAGACACCAAAGGAAGTACAGTCCCTTTGACTTCCTCTTCCTGCTTTGCCTTTCCTCTTTCATTTCCTTGCACCTGTGAGTGCTTCTAACTGTGATTTGTTGTGATTGCAAGTGTACACTCATGAATGATTCATCACTGATTTCAACTACGGTGCTAATATTGAGTTCACAGACATCATATTGTCTCATATTTGTACAGTGTGTAATGATGGCTACTGGTTGGCAGGAAAAAAAAACATTTGTTTTGTATCACATCTATCATGTTTTTATACTTATATATAATTTTGCATTACATGAAGAAGTAAAGTCCCCCAAAATGTGATTGATTTGTTTTTTGAGTGTTTATGATTTGCCTCTATGATAGATGTTACTGTCTCTGTGGCTTTCAAATATCTTAAGCCACTGATTATATTAAGCACAAGTGGATTATATTTCCAGCGATAGGGTGAATATATATGTAGAGTATTCTATATATACATTGCTAAACGTGAGTGAGTCATACAGAAGTGAAGAAGCCTCTTGGATGAGAGGCAAAACGTCCAGTCCAGTCGCCCTTGATTTAACCCTCGTTATTCATACACAAAGATTGCTTGCATTAACATCTTGAACTCCAGGTTGTGTTTGACTCTTTTATTTTTACTCTTATGACGTAGTTATCATATGCCTCAGACAAGCAGGCCAGACAGGTCAGGCTACTAAGAAATACCATCATTTGGCATGTGAGTGGTACTATACGTGTTTTAAGATACTTTTCTTTTCCAAATGGGTCACTTTTTATTGATTTGTAATATTAGCTTTCACATATTATATTTCTTGTATTTGAAAATATAGAACAATTAATGAGATTTTTCCTCTGATATTTATTACTTTAGAGGGAGACATGAACAATGTGTGTGAGGGTGGGGAAGATAATAGCAAAAGTATGCTAGAGACGTTAGAGTGTGTGTGTGTGTGTGTGTGTGTGTGTGTGTGTGTGTGCGTGCGTGCGTGCGTGCGTGCGTGCGTGCGTGCGTGCGTGCGTGCTTGTCAAAATGAGGCCTGGCAATAGTTAAGCAGTCCCTTTGTTTGAGCAGACAGGGTGGAGTGCCTCACAAACACATGCACAAATAAACGTGCATTTATATATCACTGGACAGTCAAGATGTCAGAGCTGTAATGTTTTGACATAAAAACATTTCAATATTCTGGACCAAGGCGTTATTTACAGCTGGTACCAAAATAATGTCCATAAGTTTGGGACACTTTCCTTTACTGATGGTAAATATAGTCAGACAAAAAACCCCATTAAAATAAAAGACTAAATACCATTTTAAATGTTTCTTTGTGTATTAAATAAGAAATACTTATGTCTTTGCAGGCTATGATCTACTTTGCTGACCACTTTGGTTTTTATGGTCAACTGCCAGTAACAAAACCAGTCACTAGATGGCAGACTAGACCATACTGTATGTACAGAAACAAACTGATAATTATAATCCCATTGCTCACACTGGCTTTCCCTGTCCAAATTAAATAAAATTAAGACAGATTTTTATATCATAAAAAAGTTTTAAAAGGATATAAAAAAAACCCACAAGGAAATATCAGAATAAGTGTTTATTAACTGATAGGGATAGAGACATGAGGTGCTTAAAAAGTGCTTGAAAGGAAACACTGTACAATCATGTTTTAAATGGCTTTGCAAGAAGGACAGGACTTGAAATTTTAAAATAAACATGTGTTCTCTTAGCAGGAATAATTTGTAGAAAAATAGTTTTGACAAGCTGCCTCTGCATCAAAGAGAAGGCATATGGTGTGCCCTCGCAGATTCACAGTTAGAAATATAAAACTAATAGATAGGCTTTGTTTTTTTTAAATTAGTGCAAGATATAAGAGCAAAATATACTGGAAAGATTTGTTATGATAGTGTATGTGCATAGTCAGTGATTGGCAGGCAGTGGTTTGATTGCTGTGAACCAGATATGTTTCTGAATAAACACAGGAACCAGTTGCCATGAAACCACAGTTTTTAACAAGGCCTTCAGAAAAGTAAATTTTTGCACCTGTTATGGAAATGTATAAGTATGTGGTTCTGGTCTCCTCTCAAACCAGAAGAGATGATAATAATGCTGAAAAATATCCCTGTGTTTACATGGACCTAAATAAATGCACCTCTTCAGTTTAGTATTTCATCTACAATGAAAAGAGACAAAACTCCATAGCTGAGTGAGCATTTTGTGTATCTATGACAGAAAGATAACTCAGTCTGGTTGGATTGAGCCATCCAGTCCCCCACCCCCTCCTCTGTACGGTGAGCGCTAGCGTCCAGGCTGGGGGTCGTGCCCTGTGTCGCTTCCAGCTGTCGAGGAGGTGGAGATACTGTTGTGTTGGATGGCCTGTGGATGAGACCCAGGACATGCAGGGGTGGGACTTCCTCCTGGGCTCACCACTGCAGCTGGACACAGAGACAGCTGTCAATCAAAGTCACTGATCCCATGTGGATTGTCCGTTCAGTGAGTGGGGTTTGTGAGCATGTGCATGCAAATGAATGAAAACCCTCTGCAGCTCAGATTAAAGGAAAATATTTCTTTTATTTTAACAAATGAATACTGTACATACAGGTAAAAAGACACCAATAGAAATATATAAGAATATAACACATGCCAATATCACATCCATCTTTGATCTCGGAAGCGCAACACTTAAACATAATGGCTGCTTTCATTTAAGCCACAAGGTGCAGTATCTTTTCAATATCTTTCATATTAGCTCATGTACAGGCTAAGTTGCTGTTGAACATTAACTTTAGCCTGGCTGAAGTACAACATGGGCATGGTCTGCTTTTTGTTCCAGGCTGAAGCTTCATGCAAGGCAAAATAGCCAGTGCCAGAGTATTGCATTGCACTCCAAGGTATTTCAAATACCACCTAGGTCTGGTTATTAAATGAGTATGAAAATACATTCCTTTAAATGGAGAGTTAAGAGTGCAGTGCTTTCCCCCTGATTGGCTCTCCATAGGAATAAAAGTGCATGTACCAATATTTGGAGACTGTGGGGTTAAAAGCAGAGCTCTTTAAGTGCTGTTAAGTTACACTTTGTAAGATACAGTTAAGGTCCGTGTGTGTGAGGGGTGGTTTGTCCTAACGAGACAAAACGCAACCATGGGGTATCTGAATTATGCCCTCAGTGGTGGATGGAGATGATTGGTGTCAGGCATCTGGAAAAGTTGTTGAGAGGGGGTTTACTCACTGGGGTACCCCTGTGCCTCTCTCTGCCGGGCGGTGACAGGACAGTCCTTGTGGGTGAGCAGAATCTGCTTCAGTTGACCCACCTCCGACCTCAGTGACGTCACCTCGTTCTGGAATCACACAAAGAAATATTAAGTATCCCTGAAGTGTGGATTGTGTTTGTGTGTGTACTTGTCAGAGCGTGTCCCACCTGCAGCTGCAGGTTTGTATGCGTCAACTCCTCCGCCTTCTTCTCCAGCGATGACACCCACAGTTTCCTCTTCTGTCGGCAGCGGGTGGCTGCAGCCCGGTTTCTTTCCAGAAACTTCTGCCTGCGCTCGTCAGGGTCATGGTCTGCCGTCCTCCTGCGCCGGTTGCTGCTGCCTCCTCCTCCTCCACTGCTGCTGCTGCTGCTGCTGCCTGACTGCACTGCATGCTGGGAGTGGGATGACTGGGATGGCTGCATCTGCTGTGCAACTGGTGACTGCAAAGAAAACAAACATTTTAAAAGTGTGCGTGAATGCAGAAATGAGAGGTCAGGTGTTACTTTTAACATCATTGAACTTATTAGTAACTATAAAGCATTATACCTGTGATGGAATAGACAGGGGAGGTGCAGGAGGCGAGGCCTGCGGCAAATGGGAAGGCGATTGGTGTGCCTGAGCATGCGGTGCATTCCCTGACTGGTGAAGCTGGTGGCTGTGGGAGCTTCCCAGCCGCTGCGGAGGTGGAGGGTGGCATCGCTGTTGGTAGGTGATTGGTGGAACTGGAAGCTGGGGATGATGATGATGATGATGATGATGATGATGAGGAGGAGGAGGAGGAGGAGGAGGATGATGGTGGTGCTGTAGTGGAGGTGCCTGATGATGCTGTGACATCATCTCCATCATATGATCCATGGATGTCACAGGGTTGTTGACGGCGACCATTCCTGGGTGATGCTGCTGAAAATGATGGCCCAGCGTCTGTTTGGATCTCTGAGCGGAGATAAAATGATCAAAGATATATAAAGGTGTACATGTGATGCACTATACAAGGCGAGTGCACAGTGACAGATATGTAGAATGTCTAGCAGACATGCAGCAGTGTGTTGTTAAAATGAAATAGAAAAGATAATTTTTCTAAACTCACAGAGGCAAAGAGCTGTATATTTCTTTGAGAAAGATAAACACAGAGGAGCCGCAGTAACTGACATTACATGTCTATTTTCACATTATCTCATCTGAACTGCACATTTCTTCTGAGTTTGTTATAGCCTCTGGGGATTGTTACAGATATTCAAAATCAACTCTCATATATCTTAAGGGCCGGTGGACCTGGTCTAAGAGGGCACAGGGAGATGAGCGATTGCGTCTGCTTTTCAAATCGCCAAGTGCATGCTGGGATATGTAGGGCCAAGCAAGACCCCAGTGACACTAAATAGGAGCCAGTTTTTGCAAGTAATTTCTTGACTATTATTTATGATATTTAGTTGCTGAATACAGTACAGTATATGTCTATTATTCAAGGCCAGCAGAAAAGGCCTTAAGACGTATTGAATGCACTAATCTGCATTAAGAGGCTTTTTCATTCTCCAAAATTCTTTATTATTACAAACCCCACCTTCTCAAATCTATCCACCCTGTTCTACTCACCCATTCAATATTACACCTGAACCCTAGGCAACTGGATAGACACCGGCCTTACATCAAGAGTGTCCCAGTTGAGTTTGTTGTAACATTAGAGGCCGATAATTTGCTTTGCAGTTTTGAAATTTCCCATCTCTTACAACATATTAAATCATTCAACAAATGTTGAAAAAAGTTAACTCGTGGCTATTAGAGACAATCAGGCATTTTGCAGATTTCCTGCGTAATAATGTACAGGAATATATTACATACAAGTTGTAAAATTCAGCAACTTCAAATGTATGACTTATTTAAATTTCCCTTATAAATAGTGGAAAACACAAAACCCTTCCATAAGTATCTTGGTATGAAACACAAATGACAAAATAAATTACAAACATTATATTCCAATTAAATGCTGCCAGTTACTGCCACTATATTCCCCACAGGGTTATTAAACCACATTTGAGCTGATAAGTGTTAAACTAAACACTGTACATGAAGAGTTTGTAATTATACATAAACATTTTCCATCTCTCTCAGCTAAATTAGTAATATGCTCCTAAGCTACAGGCGACTTCAGGTCAAAAAGCCTAATTAGCCTGTTTCCGTGTTTTGTAGCTAAAATGATAACTGGTCACAGCCACAATCCCACACTTACTCGCCATATCTCCTAATTATCCGCAACTGTGAATACAACTGTAGATAAGTGGTATAATGTGTTCGTATAAATGCTGCCGTCTGCAGCTTTATACCTTCACACTTTATCATTCTCGTGTATCATCTGACCAAACAGACTGTAAGAGCTAAATTAAACCTCATCTCTCCTTTCTCCTACACTCAGCAGAGGAGAGGGAGAGGTCGTGTTTAAAGCATGACATCACCCCCCTCCTCCCCCCTGGCAATATTGCTATCTGCTCCCTGTTACACAATATTTCTTTAAGAGAAGAAGCAGATTTCTTTTCTCCTTTCAACCATTCAACGGCAAAAAAGGGAGCACATTTAGCATGTGCCAAGGATGAGGTCACGGAGCTGTCTGTGCCAGCTTTACCAGCCAGCCGGGCTGCCACTCAAACACACGCACAGCCACACACACTGAACAGGACGGGACACAAGTATTTCAGCTCTGTTTACTACATAGAAACACCCTGACACTGGGGCCTGTGATTACATCATGGACCTCCTTGGCCTGGATGACACACCACATTGATATTTCTGTCTGGATGGATCAGTGAATGAACACAAGAAACTGTACATAAAACACTGATCCACTTGTTAAACGTTTACTTTTCCACTTTAGTCATGAGTGTGGAGTTTCTGTACAGAGGAGGCATGCGAACACACCTGTGGTTTTACAGAAGCCTGAGAGTCCTGTTTCATACCTTGGAAATGCAAAACACAACACCCGACGAGGCAAAATTACAATGGAATAGAATAAAATTGGTCTGGAGAAGAAGTGTGTGTGTGTGTGTGTTCAAACGAGAAAAGGTTCAGATTTGAACCCACTAGCTGAGCGGCTCTGAAACCTGAAACCACTTTTCATTTGCCACTCTACATGCAAGCTCTGTACATGAAGTCACAACCTGCGTGTGTGTGTGTGTGTGTGTGTGTGTGTGCAGGGCTATTTCACAGTTTTCCCTTTGCTTTTGGTAGCACACACATATTTAACAATTGATACTACATGCACCTAGAAAGAGGAAATGTAAAATTTACAGGGGGAGCAATTGAGAGTATGTAGACACAAGGAAAATAAAACAACCAAGAAAGTCAGGGAGAGATGGTGACTTCCTGTGGTGCGGACCTGTGTTTGTGTGTGTTAAAGTGTAGAGTTACACTCTGATTCCTGACTATCCTGATTAGAAAGGAAAAGGCCAAAGGCAGAATGTGAATAGATGTAAATAGTGAAATACTAAAAAGTTAAAAGAATAGTTTGACATTTTGGGAAATACACTTGTACGCATTTTGGCGGAGAAGATTGATACCAATCCCATAACTGTCTGTCAAATATAAGGCAAATACAAAGCAACAGCTAGCAGCCGGTTAGCTTAGCTTAGCTTAAAGGCTGGAAACAGGGAAACTGTCCAAAGATAAAAAAATCCACCTACTAGCTCCTCTAAAGCTCACTAAATAACATTTTATATCTGTGTAATCTGTACAAAACTGAAGTATAAAGAAACAATTCAGTGTTTCACGGGGTTTGCCGAACTATTTGTTGGCTCTAAGAGCGGAAATTCCAGGAAGTTACTGTTCCCGGCAAAGAAAGAGTCTGGCACCGGACCCCCAGTAAAATACTACAAATAACACTATAAAAACATCTCCTCATCTACATCTCTGACAATAAGGGTATGTCAAACTATTCTTTTAATAATACAACAAACAATTTCAAGCTTTAGCCCAAAAACAATGGCATTGGTATTTCATTTTTTAAAGCCACTAGTGGTCTAGCCGTAGTGTGTCTCTGCACTCAATGCTGTTATAAATTGTAATGTGTGGTGTGCTCATATAGACAGCCTTTGACAAAGCATAATGTTATTACCAGAGGAGAAAGGCATAATCCACAGAAACAGGAAGAAAATATCAGTGTTTGAAACTGACTTGTCAGTACCTGAGGCGAGGAACAGGAGGGGTTGTGTACCGGACCTGGTATACCCATTACACACGACAACTGCTTCTCTATCTGGAGAAGGGGAAAGAATTGGCACAAAAATAACCTTTCAACCATGACAAGAAAAAGCTTCAGCACATACATAACCTCAAGCATAAAGAGGTCCCCACAAAGTCACATCCATTTGGAGTTTTAAACTTCTGATTAATTCATACACAGGAGAGAAGTGAATTTTTCTGTTAGCCGTGAATATTTCTAACTTCTATCTTACCACTTTGGCCGCTATACCTGCATCTATAAATCATAATTTGTCTGAATGCAAATGTACATATGAGTGTAAGTAACCAGTCTCCCATACTTACGGGCATGTGCTGAGCAGATGCCCCTTGCATGGCGGGGTCTGGCAGGGTGCCAGGTAAGGAAGCTGGCAGCGGTTGTCTGTGTCTGTTCCGCATGTGGAGGAGGGAGGACAGCGGCCCCGGAACCGGCCTATGTGGTCAGCCAGAGAGAGAGGGACAGGTCATGCCAGAGAGCTATCCACAGCTACAGTTTCACTAATCCGGGTTCAGGGAGAGGTGCAAGTTGAAACATTTATAGCCGGGTCTTAATGGCAGATGGAAGTGAGATTGAGATGGAGTGATATGATTAAAAAAGGTCATGGGAGGCGACTGGAATTGTGTTTGGGTTACTTAAACATTTTTTTTTTATGTATGCCTTGTGTCTTTGTAGAAACAGTGTCCCAGGTACTCTGGATAGTCCACAGAACTCACTGTGAAAAGTTTTCATTAGAACAACTATCTATGAAAATATTGTTGATCTTGTTATCTTGATTCTGCTACAGAATTTAACGAGGAGGATCTGAGGTTAGATGTTGACTGTTATCTAGATGCAGGCGTATTTGCGGCCAAGCTGTGTGCGCATGTGTTATTTTAACAAATTGTAATCACACCCCCACAGGAGAAAAAAAGGGGAGAAGAAAGGCGGGTTTTGGGGTTTTATTGGGCTATTTGGTCAAATCTGGCAACACTGACTAGAATGAAGAGATCTCAGAGGTGGAAACATTATAAAAATGCAGGCACATAAAACCAAAACTATCTGCATAGCTGCAAACCACTAGAAGTAAGTGATAAATCTGGGTGAAAAACACTTCAAAAAGTGGACAAAAGCATCTGCAGAATGAAAACAAAATCTAAATGTTATTGTATGTGAGCTAAAAGGTATAAACAGAAGTTTGAGGTGAAGCAATGACAATGGAAACTATGATGAGGCTAGAAAACAGAGATATGGAAAAAAGTGACAGCTTGAGAGGGAGGAAAGAAGCTCTGGGTTCACAGCGGGGGATGTCGAGATCCGGGGTGCCATGTGCTGACCTAACCGCTCTGGCCCACAGCCAATCGGACAGCGTGGGCCTCCACGGCCCGCGCTGAGGTCATCGGCAATGATGTCATCGCTGAATCTGGGGTATGCGGCCCGTTTTACATACAACAAAGTACAGACAAACCAAAACAGCGTTTCCTAACGTAACCACAACAGTTCTAACGGGCCAGCAGCCAGACACTCAGAGGCCAGGTCACCATGGAAACTGGTGGTAAACAGTCAGACACCCGATCCATGGTTCATTTATCCACTCTTAACTGGCTTCACTGACTAACATGCTGTCTGGATTCAGCTGGCATTGATTTACTATACCATAATTGACTGTCAGCTCTCTCCCCACTGTCCCGTCGTGTCCTGTCTGGCCTGGACAGATGTTTGGAGTTTATTATGTCATTGACTTACTTATGGTACCTTGATTCATCTAATGTACTGCAGGGATATGACAGAGACTTTGTTTCTCTACAATATGTGTTGCAATGAGGAGTCAGTTATAGATCTTTTGATGGGTGGTAAGAGTAAGGCTTTTATTTTTTGTAAGACTGGGTGTCGGGATAAGAGAAGGGTTTGAAATTCCTCCTTAGGTTTCAAAGTATTGAGAACAGTGCTACAAATGTGAGGTGTCATAGTGACCTGAGGGTTGATTCTGACTGGAGACCTCTCTCCCTTTATTTCCTGTCTGTCTCTACTGTCTGCTCCCCAATTAAGGCATCGGACAAAGTGTCACAAACATAAAACAGGTAATTTTGATTTATTAGGTGATAATTATGACTAGTAAGATAAGATATACCTTTATTAATCCCCTGTAGGGGAAATTCAGGATAGACAAGTAGACATATTAGACAAAACAATGACAGAAGTGGAAGTGGCAGTCGAACTACAATTAGGGAAAGAAGCTGAAAAGACAGTGAAAATGGAAATTCTGAAAGAAGTGTAAGCAATGACTAAAGTTGAGGAGTTCATTTAAGTATAAGTGTAAAAACAGCTTGAGAAAAATACAACGAAGCAAAAACTGCTTCAAATCCACAGTTGAAATGTCAGGAAGAGAAAGAACAGCTGCTGGGAGCCAGTCAGATGAAAGACAGGAACTCCTCTAATCTGAACTGGGTGATAACCAGGGAGCCATGGAAGCTGCACAGGCGCTGAGAGACTCCAGTCTGGCTCTGAACCTTAACAGACATAACAGAGGCAGTATTTGGGTGGCAGGGTGGGTAGTGTCAGTGGGTTTGAGTGGGTGTTATGCAGCAGTTCTCCATCTCTTTTGCTATTACTTTGTTCTCTAAGTAAATCCGAAGTCTGACTTTTCCCCCTCCTTTCTCTCAGTTCATTAGTGCAGTGATAAATTATGCAGGGGGAAATGCCAGTCTGTGCCAGACAGAATGAGTTATTATACATCCAAAAACAGGATGGGCGAGACAGGGTAAAGGAGAGGAAGAAAGAGTGAGAAAAGGCAACATTAAAAGGAAAGATTTGTATGAGTGTGTACATATGCAGCCATGACCATACTCACCCTGTGTGTGTGTGAGGGTGGAAGGAGCCTGGGTGATGACCGATCCAGACTGGGAGGAGGACAGAGCTTGCTGGGCAGCCAGGCTGCAGCTAGGGCCCATCAGGGGGCCGTGGGGCTGGGGATGCTGCAGGTGATGGGTCTGGGCATGGTGCAGCGGCGGCTGGGGATGTGAGTGCTGAGGCTGGGGTGGGTGCTGGAGCCGGAGCTGGGGTTTGAGCTGCTGCTGGTTCATGCAGGATGGCCCATTATGAGAAAGCGTCTGTGGAGAGAAGTGGGAGTGACTATCAGCTAGAAACCACTTTGAACTCATTTTCAGTCAGTGTGTGTTTTGTCATCTGAGGTGATTTTGATGTGTGCACGCATGCATACATTTGTTTAGTCGTGTGCGTCTGCATGTGTGTTTGATGTCTAGCTGTTTAATTTACAGAGGAGAATGCGATCACCCGGCGTGTCTTTCCTTGCGGCAGGTCAGATATCTACGGCCGTCTAATTGGGTCTGGCTGCTTTTATCTCCCTCACATTGAAGTGTCACTCAAAACACTAAACCGACAGACCTCACATGCAAACACCTATCAGCAATAGTCAGCACGGTGTCTTGATTCTTGCTTTCTATTCCTTTTAGGTTAATCTTAGCCAAAAGATTAGAAATTCAGCTTAATTTTGGTTTATATTATTCTGTAGAATTTACCTGTTTGCTCTTTTCCTCTTCTTGTGCTTGAAGAAACTCTTCCTCTATCTCCTTGAACAGACCAACCTCTTCACAGTTCTGCAAAAATCGGGTTGGCGTTGGGGTCTGGTCTGGAAGCGTTACATGCAAATACACACACAAAAAAAAGGGAGACAGGTTTAAAAAAAATGCGCAGACATTCATGCACCGCTGTGCCTAAATAAACTGTCGTCCAAGTTGTAACGCCAAGAGGAGAAACAAGTCTCCTCTCACGCGCGCTCTCTGTGATAACATCAGCCTGTCTCTCTGAGCCGTCTAAACATGCAGGGGTCAAAGGTCAGCTGGGCTCTTTGTTTTGACACAAGATTTCCTGCAGGAGGCGTGACAGGCTGCAGGGACAGAGAGAGAGAGAGAGAGAGAGAGAGAGAGGCGCAGAAGGAGAGTCTGGGGAGGTTAGATGTCATGCTGATGTTTACATCCAGACAGACCAACAGCTGTTTTTATGGTTACTGAGCGTGTCCTGGTTCGGACCACGAGTCTGGATCACAGTGGTGCAATAAAAACAAAAGTCTGGCTAATGACGCTTCTTATCATGTACCTATCCTGCATCCTCATTAGCATTGTAGGGCCTTTTGTTTTTACATTAAAACTGTGACGTACAACTGGATCAGTATATTGAAGCAAAAACGTGTCTAAAATAACTGCCTACGGGACCAGTTCTTTTGCCTTTATAGCTGGAAGTCTGTTTTATTTAATGTCTCAGTGGAGTGAGAACCACAGCATTAATAATTTCTTGTTGCATGCAATGTACACAAGGGTTTGACTTTTAAAAGCCATTTTCCCCCTAATTCTTATTTTTGGAATGACAAAAAAGCCTCTAAAACAGCATGTAGACATCATGGGACACAAAATCTCCTCACTAAATCCCATGATAATTAAATTATCTTTAGGTTAGCAGCTGCTTCAACAGGATGACCCCTTTGCTATTCACTTGTGGGGGGAAAAAATTAAGCCTTGAAAGAAGAAGACGAAGATGAAGAAATCACAAAATAGGTTAAAAGAAAATCAAGTAATTATAATCGTTTAGTGTTTTTAGTTCTTTTCTCTGTATTTTATGACAGGAAACTTAATACCTTTAGGTTTTGGACTTTTGGTTGGACCTGAAGACGTCATAGTTGTGTGAATTTGTGATTTCTGACATTTTATAGACAAAACAATAATTTGATTACTCAGGAAAACAATCACCATATTAACCTGTAATAAAAATAATGGTACATTGTGGCTCTACTGTGGTATATTTACAGTACCACGTTTGTAGTAATAAATGACACTGCCGTCCGTCTGATATTGGTACATTTAATCAGCAAACTAATATACTGTTATCCTCAAACCCTGGTGCACACACAGTAACAAACTGGGATTTTCTGCTAGGCACTAAAGCCCCCCTATCCACAAGCATATGGTTACATCACTTCCCCCACCAGATTTTCTCCTGTGCCTACCTACTCCTCTTACTTTGCCCAATATCCAAATAAAGAGTAAAATAATTAGGAAGGTTTGTGCTGACCGCCGCACACGCCTGTGTTTGAAATCAATGTGGTTCTTCAACGTTGGCGTTATCAGAATGTTTTGTCTAATCTGATGGAGTATACTGTACACGTTGCAACATGAGCGGCTCTGTTTCACAGCACAGACTATCTGAGGGAAGGAAGCCTGTATCGAGCGTATCTGATTTCATACTGTATAACGTAGCGTCATCACTTTTTCATCAAGCACTGATCCTGAAAAGAGGTCAACACACATGCAGCCAGACAACAGCTGACCTGAGTGACATACCATCTTTTAAGTATTGAAATATGTGAGACAGAAGACAGAGAATTGGCAATAAGTTCTGCTTTTTTCTTTACGTGGTTGCTTGTTTCTTTTGTGCTCTCTCACCTGTAAAAGCCGTATCCGTCTTGATAGAGGTGAACTTGAGGGTCATTTCATGCTTGTGTCTGTGGATGATTAGGTGCTCCTCTAACTGGAAGCGCTGCAGCACACCGACAGAGTGAGAAAGAAATGAATACAGGCAGCTGTATTGACACCACATGATGATGAGACGTTCAGCTGACGCCTTATAGCTGACTAATCAGTCATAATGGTCTTAGTCAGTTAAATATTTTAGAATATTTATCACTCCAAATGATAGTGAAAATACATTTATAATGTATACATTTTATATTTTAAAACATCTTTATCTTTGAATTGTAGCCTTTGTTTTATTCCAATTCTTAATTTTAGTCCTGTTCTAATTATAATTCTTTGTTCCATACTTGCCTTTTTAGGCCAGCAGCCTCGAGAGTATGCCACCTTGCCTTTCATGTAACAAATAAAATCTTAAATCTTGCGTGGAAATACAGCATGTCTGCTCTTTTTTCCAGCATGCAAAGACCAAGGCTGCACAGTCGACATCGTATAATAACGCTAATCGTTCAGTTATATGCTGCTTTCTACAATTAATTATCATGTCACAATGACTTTTCTACAATGTTAAAGCATTTTATTCCACTTAAAATAAATTACTTTATTTAGTCAGGATTAATAATCCAGTTTGATAATGATAATGATATATTTTCCTGCAAAAAAGAGAGTTCATTATAGCTGTTACGGTACAGGTGTAACACACACATACTGTAACCAACTGACCTGAGAGCAGCCCGGGGCGCCGCACTCATAAGTCCTGTCCTGTTTGTCATTCATGTCATAAACACCCCTAGAAAAACAGAAGACGCAAGAACAACACATTAACATAAAAGCTCATCATACTGTATATAGGGAACTGCAGTATCTCTCCCCGGGCCACAGTTACTGTACGATGATTTCATTCAGCAGGAAGCCTGCAGTTCTCTGTTCTCTATTTGTATTTACACAGAGACAATGCCCTCAGATAAATCACACACTACGCTTGTGTGATACAGTTATCCTCATATTATCACGTCTTTATTGTGGAAGCGGTGTGTAATGAGGGAGATGCCACAGATGATGGATGTTTCACCCTGAGACACAACATTATCCCAAAGAAAATTATCCCTTTGGTGCCAGCGGGAGTGCAACAGTCTTGGGTTCTGACAGCACTGCTGTAAACTGTATTCATTTTTATTAGGGTAAGTTCTATAATACAAATAATCTGTTTGGGTCTTGCCTAACAAGTCATTACACATTACTAATAACATGTAAGCACAAGACGGGCAACCAAGTCTTATAAGTATTGTGATCTTTACTTTTCATGGCCATTATGTCGGAGTGTTAAATGTAGTGCAATTGTTTCAACCTACAATTAGGCTTTCACCAGGGCATCAGTTAATAATACCAGTGTGATGAAAGGATACATGGTCACCATGCATAACATAAAAATAAAGTCATCGTAGGGTAAAAATATCAACACAAACACACAATGCAGCACAATAATGCAATGCTAACCCAGGCTTGACCCACTCAGCTCTTCAGTGGCAATATTAAGCTAATGATAGGGGTGGGCAGGGGTAATCACGACTTATTTGAAGTGTTACTGCTGCTGGGTCCTCATTTTCCACTTGCGAGCAAAGGAAGAAGCCTGCAACTCCCTCTTGCGCTCACCAAACAAGATTCACACACATGTAGACAAGACCTAGAGGTCAACAGGGTGACCCTTCCTTGACTTTTTCCTCCTCCTACAGTACAGATAGCATCAGAGAGGAGAAAGAAGTGATGGAGAAATGTTAAAGGTGGAGACAGTGACGAATAGAAGTGCGTCGGACACTTTTTCGCAGGTACACACATGCTCAGAAACTTTGGGTTTGCGTGAGCGGAAAGCGCTGAGAAGACAGTAAAGTAGGTCCTGATGTTATGGGAAAGAGTGAGAGCTAAAGAGAGCAGCGAGGGCAAAAGTACATGCTTCCATAAGAAATGGAAAGTGTGTGTGTGTGTGTGTGTGTATGTGTGTGTGTATGTGTGTGTGTGTGTGTGTGTGGGGGGGGGGGCTGGAGAATGACATTAGGGTGATGGAGAAGGGAATGGAAAGGGCAAGTGGCAGCGAGTGAGAGGGAGAGAGAGAGAGATAGAAGGAGGACACAATGACAATGAATGGAAGAGAGAAAGAATGGGGGTGGGAGGCGGCAGAAGGAGGGCTGCACTGTAGGCATATGCCTGACAGGTTTGAACCTGCCTCAGCCCCCATTTTCCAACCCGGGACAAGTAGAGGTGACTTCATAGGTGTGTGTGTGTGTGTGTGTGTGTGTGTGACAGCGTATGTGTTTGTGTGTTACAAAACAGAATAAGCAGCAAGTTTACACAACACCACAATTATAGACAAATAGACAGTTTAGAAAGTTGGAAAACAGACAGGGGGCTTCATTACAGTTGTTACAGTTTTTATGTAACTGCAATTTACAGTGTGTAGCCTTTCTTGCAGCTTTAGTATTGCATACTGTGATTTTTCACAGATAAATAAACAGAATAGTTAATCTGAAGACCCTCATCATTATCAGCAGTTTTCACCTCTCTGCTCCCCAATCAGCAGCACTTCTACAAAAAGAGCAGACTCAGCACATTTTCAGCTAAACCTTCTGTCAGTGGTTACATCAATGCAGAATGACGTCATCCTTAATACATAAATCCAACAACAGACCAGACAACATGTTGCCAATTCAAGACGGATTAATGTCTGTGTTGGGGGGAAAACTTAATATCTCAAAGGCAGAAGAATTTCCCCTCCTCTGTCATTGCTCTTATCACCACAGCAGCGACGGTGAATGACATAATACATACACACACACTTTTAAAACCACCTGTGCTTGTGAATCATCCACAATATTCAAACTACCAGCTGAAAAAAATATATAGCCAGCTTTAGCTACTTACGATAGGCCTACTTCTCAAAGTTGTCATGTTCGATGGATGAATGTCAACAACGTCGAACCGGTCGCACTGCCGGCTTGGAGCTCGTTCAGCCCAAATTTGGCAGCGGTTCCGACCAGCGAAATCCTGCCTGTACGAGCCTCAAGAACATGCCGGTGTGTTTCCTTTCCTACCGCTCCGTAAAGCAACCTGTTCAACTCATAAACAAGCCCGGCACAGCTGTACGGAGAGTGCTGTCACACCCCCCAAATAGACACTCGCGCTCTCAAGCCGTCCGCCTGGTGATGAGACTTCACCGGGACAGCTAGCCAAAAAACTTCCCCCGTCAACTTTCCAGAAAATTAGCGTGAAAAATAAAGAAAAATAACGTCTATTAATGAGACACTCGGCAGGCAGTGGTTACCGCGAGGAGAGCGCTTGCTGCCGGTTTAAAGTTTTGTGAATGAAAGTAAATTGCCGAGGCTTACCTACGAGTAGAGAGAGACAAGCGGCGCTCCAGAGAGGAACCACGTTGGACTGGAGCGGGATTACAATACGTTCTATTTACAGAAGCATTACATCACCCTCCCGGTGACGTCACGTGGGATTCCTGAACTTCTAAATCATTGCGGTCCCGTACGGAGAGAGGGATTGAGGAGGGGGGGGCGGGGTTACGACACCGGCCGGTATGGGGAACGTACGGGACAGCAACATGGTGGTGGACCTGGACAGACAGACCACAGCCGAGTCCGACACAGCGACAGCAACGTGACGGGACACGGGGCAGACCGGGTGGTCGGATGAAACCCCAGTTCTCTCTCCCCATTTTCAGTGTCTGTCTGAAACGGGCCGTCCCAGCGTCTGCATCGAGTCTATGCGTCAAAATGAGCAATAGCCCCCAAAGGTACAAAACTGTCGGGCTTATGTGGTAGTTCTGTTTATTTTAAAATAAAATTGTTATAAAACATGAACAGGCTTGTGGTGAGGAGAAATGAGGTCGTTTGATCCCGATAAATTAAAAAGGAGAAAATTTGGCCAGACAGGTACAATTCTTATTATTTGTATTGTTATTGTTATTTCTTAAAAAAATATATTAATTTGCCCTCCGTTTTAATCCCCCAAGTCTAATTAATTAATCAGATAGTCTTTTTGAGATCTCTTTTACAAGAGAGACCTGTCTAAAATCAGAAAACCTGCACACAAGAAATAACATATCTTAAGTCAGACAACCAACAGTCAAGCGACAAACAGAATTAATAGACATCATTAACACATATAGGCCTACATATTGTATTACAACAATCATAAAACACATTAGGGATAGAAAAAATCTCAGAGGGTCATGAAATAATATATCTTGAAAGCTGTTCACCATTCATTCCATTTAAATGGTGTGTATACCTGAATGTAATTCTGCCAAGTTTAGAGCAACTGCGTGGGTATCTACAGTAAGATCCAGTTATTATTGGATCATATCATACAGTATGAGAAATGTGAGGTGTTGCTCAAAAGTTTTAGCAGCAGAGTGCTATTGATAAAGTATCACAGACTGGACTGGGTCCATATTCACATCACACTGGCAGCCATTGTGTGTATGATGTCATGAGTCATGATCAGGGTTTGGGTATGGTTTAGCATTTTTAACAGAGATAAGAGAGAGGTGAGATTTTAAGTATTCCATATCCTTTCTAATGGTTTTCACTCATGTTACACTAAACTCAGTTATGGCTTCCAAAAACAAATAAATGTCCACTGCTGTAATTTGATAAAATTATTTATATGATGCCATGAAATCCCATTGGCCACACAAAATAACAGGAGGGATTTACATCTCCACTGCGCTAAGCCATAGAGTAATATCTCTGCCATGTTTGGTCAGACTTTCCTGTGCTGGAGCTGAACAGAGGGATATGGTTTTGTTGTGGTAGAAGTGCAAAATGGAACCAAACCCTACTGACTCATCATCCACCAATCGCCTAGAGCATGCAAATCTTGGTAGGCATGGCAACAAGAAGAAACAGGAAGTTGTGATGATGTCACTCTGTGTTTTGAGCTCTTCCCCCAGTGTGGATGTGAATCACCGAGTTTTGTTTTCAGTGAAGATCAGGGATGTTTTACAACAAGAGTGCACAGTTACACTAAAACGTGTATGACGGCAGCCAGGAAGTCTCTGGCTGGTGCCCTGGAGCAGACAACGCCGCTGAGGTTACAACTACCTCCATAACTCAGTGGCAATACTAGCCATTACCATCTGGCATCTTCACCTCAGCAAGGCTCTTAACAGCCAGACAGGGAGCTTTAGAAATCTGCCCGCTCAGAGCCTACTGTCACCTTGTTTGTAAAAATATGGCGTTTCAGGTCAAAGGCCAAACAAACTCACTGACCTTAATCCCCACGTAGCATTATCCTCTCTACAGCTACATCACACATCTGGCTCAGCTGCCAAACTGTCTTGACTTGATACATGGTGGTTTCTATATATACTATTTCTATCAGCGAGTTGCAGAGTAATGTGGGACTAATGTGCGACTTAAAAAGTAACTGGAAATAGACCCTTTAAACAGCCTCCAAGTATACAAGTTACAGTCATCTGGTTATGTAATGCTATGGTTGGCGTTAAAGTTACATCCAACACCGCCCTCACATGCACATCCACTCGAGAGCAGACCTCTGGTGTGTCTGCGTGTTATGATTTGGTTTGGTCCACATGTGTACACTGGAGTTGCGTGTAGGTCATCAAACATGGTTGTACTGTTTTTGTCTTCAGCAAAAACGAGGTGAGAATAAGAAAACCCGTGCTAGTTTGAAATCCATCCCAAACTGTTACATTGCACTGCCTGCAGACCTCAGATCAGATGACGTCATGCAGCATAAACTCTCACTGTGTCTCTCCCTTGCCTCTTGCATTTCACAACACATGCTACCACTTCTCATTTACGTAATGGTGTTGGGAACTGCGTCACTGTCACAGCTTTGATACGCCGTGATTGTGTGTAATGAGTGTGTGTGTCTACATGTTTGTGTGTAAGAGAGAACATCTGTGTTAGGCTGATGAAGTCACTGAATTTCTGTACTGTACATGTGTTAGAGACTGTGGATGCCGGTGATGTCATGTTGTCGTTGTTGTCAATGTGTTAGTGCAGCGGTGAATCTGAGCTTATTTTATGTTTCTGTGTGTATGAGTGTGTGTGCCATATAGTTGGGTGGCTAGAAGGCAGTGAGAAATTGAGTGAGTGTGTTCCCAGGTCTTAAGGTTGTTTGCTGAAGTCACTGGCCAGTGGTTTATGACAGGCCATTTTAACGCTTGATTAACAGGTCCAACACAGGCCAGCCGGCCCTGGTTAGCCAGCCCCGGTGATTTAAGGACATTCTCCTCTCTCTGGGAGCCACACACATACACACACATTACAAAGTCCTCTCCTCACCACTGAGCCATTACTGGGTAATATTAATCTGTAAACTTTGTGGATGTAATAGATGCATAAACATTGATACACAGATACACACACAGATAGCATGCGTGTGCAGTTGTACTATAACACCCCTTTATTAGAGTTATAATGGGTGACTTTGCCAGTAATGGAAAATAAAAAACAATAATTTAAAATGCTGCGAACAATGATTGATTTTCAGATTATCAAAAGTCCATTTATGTCTGTTTTCAAGCAAAAACTTTAGCACATTTACATTTACCCATTTGGCAGACACATTTATCCAAAGCGACTTCCATTTGAGGAACAACATGCAAACATCCATAAAGCAGCAATACAGTGAGAGCAGCAATAAATACTAGTAAGAGCTATTAGCACGTACAGCATCAATGGGGTAAATACCTAGGGAAAGAAGTAAGAATTAACTAATTGTGCAATCAATACAGGAGAATTGTAAGGAGACAGAAGAAGAAAAGCACAGGATGTGCATGTTGTAGGTTAGGGGTAAGAGGTGTTATAAGAGAAAGTGTTTTCAACAGCTTCTTGAAGTTAGAGAGGGCCGCCCCTGCTCTGATGGCATGTGGTAGCTTGTTCCACCATCGTGGTGTTACAAATGAGAACAGCCAGGACTGAGATTGCTTTGTGTGTAGGGATGGCAGATCATTGGAGGAGCATAGTGGCTAAGAAGGAACGTAAGCTTGTATTGTGGAGTTCATGGGTGCAGACCCAGTAGTCACTCTGCATTTATTTATTTTTAAATAAACCTGAAAAATGTTGTCTCCAGCCCATTACAGTGCAATAAGTGAATAAATTCCATTAAAACATAAAAGTAAGGTGTTTATATTACACATTTCATACACATGAGCAAATCAAAGTGATTACGTAAAACTTAAAAAGGAAAAAACAGGAAAAGACCTTTAAGCTAAGCACTTCACTAAAAATTAATGTTTGGGAAAATTGTGATTCAGCAATTATTTACTGTGATGAATATAAAGAGAAGATTGTAACTTGTCAGTATATGTCATTATTCTGGGACTATGATTGCCACTCTTGACTCTGGGTCACCTCAGACCTCAGTCCACCACACAGTCTCTAGATGAATGACTGCTCAGGCCTATTCAGTGGCAAGATCCTAATGGGACTCTTACTTAGTGTTTTATTATTGGGTGACGCACAGGTTAAGCATAAACTTTAAGACAAATGTGCAGTATATTGCCTGTCATGGGTGATGTACAGTTAAATAAAATGTTCCATGACATTTGTGAATTTTCTGATTATTATTCCTTATTCTTATATATTCATTGTGGGCATTTACAATAAATGTAACATATCAAATCAATTCCTATTCAAGTTAATTTTCTCCTCCATATATTTTCTCAGTGTACAGACTCCACCATAGACTCAACTCTTTCTATATTATGCCGTCATGCTATTAAAGGCTGTTGCTCTGTCAATAGGCCTATGAAGCATATTACCATTTACAATTACTTTAGATGTGAGATATAACCATAACGCATAAAACACACTGGCCCTAGCTCTGCTTGATCAATATGAGCAAGAAGACAATATCTGAATTAAATAAAGATTATGTCCACAGCATAGCTCCACACACTCCGTATTTTGCATAAACTATGCTTACGTTTTCTTTGATAACGCATGCAAAAGTGTTAAGACTGAACTTCACTTTAATATGTGTGTTTGATGTCATCAAATGTCACAGCTTCGGGGGCGCAGATGCCAACAGGTAGGCAGGTCGTGACGTAGGCTGCCACCAGCCAACCCTCCCCCCATCCCCACCCCCACCGTCCCGCCTGCCTCCCAGCTGCGTCCGCCGCTGCCCTGTCTGGCCGCCCGGTGTCTGCTCCGCCGCTCCGCGCTCTGCGGCGCTCCCACCCTGAACCCGAAGACTCTGCCTCCTCGTTCACCACCCCGGCTCCCGGACCCCCCTCTACCCGGTGAATGCACCAGCGCCGAAAACATGACGGGCATCGCCGCCGCCTCTTTCTTCTCTAATTCCTGCAGGTTCGGGGGCTGCGGACTCCAGTTCGAGTCTCTCGCCGAGCTCATCGTCCACATCGAGGACAATCACATCGGTGAGTGGGGCCAGAGGGGGAGACAGAGCTAGGCAGCTAGCTGGTATTAGCTAGCGCCCTAGCTAGTTAGCTGAACGCTTATAGGCTCGGCTTTGCATTCCGCTATTCCTGCCACTCGCTCTCCGTCGAGGCTCGTCGGAGTGGGAGTTATTCAGCAACAAGAGACTTGAATTCTTTTGAAAAACACGGCTTCTCTGTGAAATACGTGCCCGTCTGCTTTTATATTTCTTTAACTAAGATAGTTACCTTTTGCAGCGGTAACTCGACTATGAGGGCCGCGTAGGTCTCATAGGTGTAACTAGCATTCCGACCAGGCAGCGGTTTCACGGCTAAACGTTGCAGAGGAGTCCGTGTGTTTACGTTTTAAGGCCTGCTGCAGAGCAGCCGGGGCTCCTCTCACACCAATTGTGTATTGAGCTGCCAACAAGTCTGTCGCTTTTGTCACCTCAGGTGTCTCCACGCATCGAGACATCACCTTTTGCGACGCATAATGCTGGTGTCACTTAATTACCCTTGACACTGTATCAGTTGAACCAAGTTGTGGCAGACGTGAAATAAAATAATTTGATTATCTTCCACATGCACAAGCTTCAACTTGTTGCACGGCTTATTCGATTTTCATCTGACAGTAAATCTTACTGATAACTGTCACCTGATATGTGGAGACTCGCAATCAGTTTACCCACCATTTAACATTAGACAGACAAAATAGTTACTGTGTAAACACTGTAGTTTGGAACAGCATGCAATTAATTCAAGCTATTTCATCTATTGCTGAGTAATAAAGACATAAGTAGTGCATTACTAAAAAAATGTTGTGTATATTGGTAGCAATTTGTACGTCTATTTGTCACCCTCAGTGCATGTGTTAAATGTGGCCTCTCAAGAAAAACAAATTCTGTTTTAACTGCACTGTTAATTAAGAACTCTACCTGCAGAGATGCCTGTCTTGGATGTAGGCACATTAAATAAACTGTTATTAATAACCATTAGCATTGCCTTGTTTTTGATGAGGGAGTGCTCCTTTGCTATTACTGCTTGTAAATATTTAACACTTCAGCAAATAATTCACTCTGGCAGATTAACATATAATCCACCATAGCAAATTACACTATAGAAGAATCAAGGGAGTCGTGAGTTTGTGGCTTGTATCCATCCTCGGGAGGCTGTTCGAAGCGGGTGAGGCTGCGGGGTGAGGGCGTAGAATGGATGCTTCATTGAGCCAGTTGCCATGGCAACTGGCTGTCCCCAAAGGCGTTGGGGGCAGTATATTGGCTGAGTTATTGCACACCTGCTGTCTCACTAACAAAGAGCGCTCCCGAGCAGCCAGCTGTGGTGACGACACCCGACGTGTGATGTCACATCACATGTGGAACGGGACTGGCGTGCTGATGCTTCAAAAAGGGGGGTTAAAGAGACTTTGTTGGACTGTGTTGGTTAGGAGAAAGTGGAGCGGTGGTGTTGTGGATCACTCTTCATCCTTCCATATGCTGCGGGCATCACTTGCAAATAAACCAAGTAGTGGATGGGGTGATCAACACTCTGAATGGCCATTTAATTTTTTTTAACCTGTGGCTTTGTAGACCACGATGTTTCCCCGAACCAACCAGTAAACAAATGAAATTGAAAGAAATGCAAAATATATATTGCCTTTTCAGTCGCACAGCCAAAACCCCACAGACACTGGTAGATGCCCCATCTGGCTCTTGGCTTGACCTTTGACCCCAGCCGACAGCTGAACAGAATGGCGGTTTACCAGTTAGATCAGTTGAATTAATGAATTGTCCCTCTGCTCGTTTCTGCTGGTCATCAGCACGTCACACATAGTCTAATCAATACTGCTCGCAAACTGAGTTACCACAGGGGGAAGTGTGACAGATGGAGGGGATGTAGGTGAGAGTGTGGGATAGCAGGTGGTGGGGGGGATGCATTTAGCTCCCCTTTTAGTTTTAGTTTTGAAGTGGTGCAGCAGTGTGGGATTAACGGACAATCAAAAGGTAAGCTTATTTGATTCTCCGAGCTCCTTCACGTGAGGCGTCAGATAAGCTGTTTGAGGCGTTTGTAGATAACAGATTGCCGTGATTGTGGTCTCTCCTGCAGTGTGCAAACAAATTACGAAAAAGCAGGCACTAACAAGAAATCAGATAATCCAGAGGTGACAACAGCCGTGTGCTATCAGACATGAATATGGGTGAATGTGAGTCAGTAGGTCTCAGGTCAGTGTGCAAAAATCAGCACAGGCCTGTGCTAGAAACACCTGGTCATTACCCTAGACTGTGCTGCCCTCTTGTGGTAGGGTACCCTGTGTGCGGCACAGCCAAAAGAAATTAGTAGGGTTTTTTTGACTCTGGTTTGGGCCCCTGTGTATCTCAGTTTTCTCAACATGTGTCTTATTTGGACACAGCGCACAATAGTTGGCAGCAAACAGACCAGATGAGCTTGTCGCAATCCTTTCCGTGAGAAACGTGGGTAATGTGTGGGTCTTCAGTGCTGACCTCATCCTAGAAGAAAGGATAGCAGCCTTCCAGTAACATACCCGCACTAGATTACAGCTGAATTCAAAAGGAAATGGGTTTAGGTGAACAGTGTTTAGTGCGGTGTTTGGCTGTTGTCGAAGGCTTTGCTCTGTGACTCTAGGTAAGGTCTGAGGAATGTAATGATGTCAGGCTCGTCTGCCTGTGTGAACGGCAGCGTTGTGCTGTGTCCTCACCTGCACAAGCACATACCTGCCCTCTTACCTCAACAAAGACAGGCTGGGAGGGAAGGGCAAGCAGATAGAGATTAAGAGAGGGGAAGAGATGTGAAAGAGAAGGTTAAACAAAGGGAAATCCCAAACATCTCAGCTTTGTTAGGACAGAACTTAGTTTGATTGCTTTCCTTTGTTTGGATTTGGTTTTACAACTGGAATCAAACACCGAGCCGTGACTTGACACGAGGAGTCAGCATTGTGTTTAAATAATATAGGCTCTGCTGTAGCATGCTGATAATTAACATACACTAACTTATAAAGGCGTCTTCATTCAGCTGCAGTTTGGCTGTATTCCTTTATCTGTCCTGGCTCAAAGAAAACACAGAAGCAGATACAATATGGTGAAGCAGTTTTTACCTGTCTGTCATTAACAGGCAGGAAAACCCCTTCTGTGCTGAAGTTACTTTTTTTTCCCGAACAAAGGTATAATTGCATAGCAAATGGAGGTATTTGGTGAATTACTACAATTTGTCTTTGCAGTAGGGTTTTTGATGTTGCCGTAAGCGCTGAGCAATAATTGAACATTATTTTTGAATGATTCTCAGCTGAAATCATTTTGTGGTGATATGATCTTCAAATCTGAAAGGATTAGTTAGTGGATGAGTTGATCAGCAGAAAATGAATCGGCAGCAACTTTATGAAGTATTTCATTGTTTAAATCATTTATCAAGAAAAAATGCAAGCTTCCTCGCTGGTTCCAACTTCTCACATTAGTAAATTCAATATGTTGAGTTGTGTACTGTTGGTCAGACAAAACAAGATACTTGGTGTCACCTTTGACTCTGGGTAACTTTGTCTGTCATTTTTTTTTGCTGCATTCAGTCATTTAATAGACAGAAAGATTAACTGATTAATCAAGAAACATATATATTGATAATGAAAGCAAGTTAGTTATCATAATATTCTATAATAGCATAAATAATGTCTGTTGTCATGTAAATGCATAACAATGGGACTTCTCATACTGTTGAGAACCTGTGTCTGTACAGTACATTGCATTATTTTATTGGGCTTCAACAAACAATCTCTTGATTATTGATCTAGAGATTATTTTCTTAATTAATTAATTATTTGTTTGGCTTATAAAAAATACTGAAAACCCATTACAACCAGCCTAAAGTTCATGACCTCTTCAAATGTCTTGTTTTGTCTGACCAACAGTCCAAAACTATCAAAATATTTAGTTTACAATGATATATATATTGTTATATAGTTATATAGTTTAAAATGATACATAAGTATAAGTATGTCAGTATATATTCAGCTCTATTGGTCATTTTCATACATTTGCCATTCTGTGATATAAATCAGTATCAGAAAATACTCATATTAATATCATGATAATGATTTAAAACATATAGCCCAGGCCTAGTTGGCAGATTTTTCCCATCCCACTTTCGGAGGTGTGAAACAGGAAGGGGCGTGCATATTTCTTGTGCATGTGAGAGAGTGTGTTCACCATACTTTCCAAATGACCTGTCAGGGTGTAGCGAGGCAATTAGTAGATTGGCATCCCAAACTGCAGACCCTCTCTTTTCACAACACACATACATCCACATACACAGTCACACAGTTTGCCTTTCGGAAGTCGCAGGGCCCAAGCGCCCCACCAAGCAACCAAGCACTAGGAAGCGTAATTACAGAGAAGTTTGCCTTTCCCCCCCACCCATATCCCCCCTGCTCCTCCTCCTCCTCTCCTCTCCCTCCATCCGGCTGCCTGCTGCTCTAGAAACACGTTTAAATGCTCTCTGTGGCTTAATTAGCAGTCTGCAAAACAAGCCGTACATTCTTGGCCTGGTTTCAGCACACAGACATACCTACACATGTGCCCATACATGCGGACACATGCACAGTGTGTTTTCAGCAGGGGGCAGCAGTGCACTGCTGGTGAGAGATGGATGTGTGTGTTGAAATGAGTGGAGCGGCTGTTGATTGGTTGCTGCTTTTAATGACAGGAATGCTAATTAGGGAGATATTTATAGACCCACCAGACTCTGAAATGTCTCAGACACACAGCACACACACACAGCAACATGTACACACACAGAGCAGGAGTGCACTGTGTAGGTTAAATGAAAAACCTGCAAATAAAATCTGAAATTGATTTTCATGTAGCTTTCCGTGTGTCTGTGTGTGGGTGTGTCTCCCTCCTGTTCCAGCCGCAGGATCAGCAGTGTGTTAGCTTCCTGCCCTGCTAGGTGAGCGGAAGTCGTAAAGCCGGGGAACATTTACTGCAGCTCTCTCTCTGCACCTGGCGTATTCCATTTCTACCAACACCCCCCCCCCCTCTATTCACACATGCACGCACTTACCTCATCTTAAAGCAACAACTCTGTGCTCCTTGTACATCCCAAGTCCCAAGTCAATCTCTGCCATTTTTTCTTCTGATTCTTGTTGTTTAATACCTGGCTGTCAAACATTTGCCCAAATGGAATTTAGCTGACTTCAACTGACTACCTCTGTACCACTGTTACAGTGGTAAACAGTACTTCTGAATATATCCAACCATGTAAAAGTTGGACTCGTGATTCATCATCGCAGATAGAGATTCCACAAGTGAGAGGTTGTTGATTTGATAATTACAATTCTCATGAAAGATTAGTTGATAAAAAGTCACCCTACAGAACATTTCTCAACAACAGTTTTGATTGTTTAGGTACCAAGCATTCAGTGCTTTACTCTGAGTTATGTAATTATAAATTAAATATCTTTGGAATATAGACTGTAAGTTGGACAAAAATTAGCAATTTAAGAGGCCACTTTAGGTTCTGGGAAATTGTAATCTTAATTTTTTTACTATTAAATTATAGCTATTGGAACGATTAGTCAGTCAGAATGTTATTCTGCAACTGTTTTGATAATTGATTCATTGTTTCAGTCATTTTTCCTAGCAGAAATGGCAATTTACTGGTTCCGCCTTCCAGGTTTTTAAGCTTTTCTTTGTCATCTATGACAGTAAATAGAATTTTGGGGGTTCGAACTGTTGGTTGGATAAAACAAGCAATCTGAAGCTTTTATCTCAGCATTTTTTCACTATTTTCTGACATTTTTTAGCCACATCCATTAATCAATTAAGAAAATAGTGGTCAGAGTAACATAATCAGTATATTTGACACGTTTGAACATTTTGGTTGAATGTAATGTAAGTTGTTTTCCTGGTCTTGAGGTTCACATTACAGACAGTTGATGCATTTCTGAGCTCCCCTATTGGATCACATAACACACATTTACTTTTTCAAAGTTTTCTTGCCTTTAAATATTCCTGAAATATTGTCACTTCATATCAGAGAAAAAACTGGACAAGCCACAAAAAAATTCAAACTCAGTGGTTTGAAAGAGGTCAGACTTCAAGATGCTGCTAGCTCTCATTGTCATGTCTCGTGACCCAGCCTTAGTGCTACAGGTCAAGGAGTGTTGGTGCGTGTGATCTGGTCTCTACTTCTGAACAGCAGGTAGGATTATTAAGGCTCAGCTATAAAAGAATGTCAAAGACCACCTCTGTGGACCACCTCAGATGAGTGCGTTTGTTTATCGATGCACGCCCCTGCTATCCTTTTTTCTCACCTAGCCTTTGCAGTGTTTTTGCACACACTAAAATGTAGATGGCTCAGGTCTACACAGCAGCAGCAACAGCAGCAGTAGTGTGCATTTTCTTCTAGGTTGTTTTCTTGTTTGCTGGTCTCCTTGGTGTTCTCCTGCACTGTGGGAAGTCTGCATTCTTTTTTAATTATGAGGTGTGAAAGCCTGAAAACTGAAGGGCTAAGAAGGCCAACACGAAAACACACACACACACACACGGTATTAGTTGGAAGGAGTGTCCTGGAGTGTGTTGTTAATTGTTGCACAGAGATGATCCAGTTCTTGGACCTGAATTGCAATACATCTGCTAGCCATTACATATAAACCAGCAATTATGCCTACATGCACACACTCACACAGACATAGCCATGCACGCCATGACATAAACCTACATGTTTTTTGTTTTGGTCTCTCTGAATGTTCCCCTTTTTGAACGCTTGGTGGCACTGGTACTTCACAGATACACCCACCCGCAGTGTTTTCATGCACACTTGCTCCTGTTTTCCAGGGGGTGGGAGGTGGGGCTTTGAAGTTAACGCTGTTTCCCTCAGGCAGTGGAAGTTGCCTACTGTAGTGTTACTGACTTAACAAGTCAACTGGAAAAAGTGTGTGTGTGTGTGTGTGTGTGTGTGTGTGTGTGTGTGTGTGCGCGTGCGCGTGTGCTCTTAGTAATACACTGTGTACATTCACCACTGCCTCCAAGTTGCTCTTTCACTCTCGGACAAATTTCTTCTTTGCCACATTCAGACTCTGGCGATGATTAAGCAGCCTTGGGTCACTTTGGGAAAGGCATTGCCAGTAAATTACAGAGGGTTTGACGCTGGCGTAATAATGGCCTGCTTATGAAAGTATCTGAAATGTATCTGCAGGCTCTCACATATTTTGGACTAATACAGAGAACGCAGTGTGGAAAACATCCAGTAATCAGTCAGCCAGTCTGGCAGGAAGAATAGATTATGTGTCAGATCCTAACTGAGAGTATTCACACAGCATTTTCCCTCCACAGAGAGTGGTAATTAATCTGAATGTCTCTCTCTCTCTCTCTCTCTCTCTCTCTCAGACACAGATCCAAGGGTCCTGGAGAAGCAGGAGCAACAGCAGCCCACTTATCTGGCCCTAAGCTACATCAACAGGTACACACACACACACACACACACACACACACACACACACACACACACACACACAACCAAAGGTGTCTGTCTATAGAGGGCAGCATTGCTCCACCAGTCTGTGTTTATGCGTGTGTGAGTGTGTGCAGATGTGGCTTGTGGAGAGAGGCTCAAATGACTGATGTCTTCCCATAGACATAGCAGTGACTCATCCACAGACCAGCACAGAAAACCACACAAGACAATCACTCCTTGCTCCGTGCGCTGCAAACACCACAGCCACAGGCGCCGTTTCAGGATTACGGCATGTGTGTTTTTGTATGGTGAACCGACATGTCACATGCCACTTAATGCCCCGTTAAATCACTCCCGCGACGTTAAGAAAGATAACGGTACAACAGAGGGAGAAGGAGATGGCGAGGTTTGTTTTCTGTGGTAATCGTTTCAAATGACGAGGTTGTAAATGTCATCTGTATTTACTGTACAATGTTGTGATGGCTGCATATTCAGCAGCTCAATTATGTTTTGTCAAACCTCAGACTTCCTTCTCATAGCACCAGTGTACAGAACAGCCATAATTAGATGAGATGAAACCTTAAAGGCCCCTATTATAGCAGCAAATAACACAAGAGAACATTAGAAAGCACAAACACAATTAGAATATAAAGAATACTACAGTAAATAAGGGTTATTAGAGTATAATTCCAGTGAATCACGGCTAAGCTGGGGTCATAAATTTGTAGTTTTAAACATCAAGGCCATTAGTAACATTATTTTCCAAACTGTGTGTTGTAAACATCCATCATAGCTTAAAGAAAGACTTCCTGGTAATTTCTTCCCCTATTGCCGTAGTTGTACATGCACAGCTTTCCAATAAGGGATTATTACTGTTCTCTCAGGCGCACTCACTTTTGGTTTTACCTCCAAATAATGTTGCTGAGGCAATGTCTGCTTGTTGCAAGATCTGAGCAATTATTTTTGTCAGTGTAGTGTTATCATAACTGACAGAAATGATGGCCAATTAAATTAATACCCAATTTGTAATAAATCAGCATTATACTTTTAAGTTGTAAATTATAATAAAATGGAGAGTTCTGGACGGATTAAAATATGTATGTTTTTTGAATGAAGTTTGGCATTTCAGTTGCTCCACCAGCATTGCCTCCATTTATAAGGCGCTCAAGTTGACATCAGCATGGTTGTCAAGCGGGAAGTTTGCTGGTACATTTTAGGTTTACGGGATTTACTTAAATTACCCCCCCCCCCCCCCCCGCCTCAGGTTCATGACAGATGCGGCGCGCAGGGAGCAGGAGACTATGAAGAAGAAGGCCACACCCAAACTGTCCCTGTCCATCACCGGCGGAGTGTCTAGGAACAGCACGGCCACGCCTCCTCGCCACACGAGCGGTAACCTGACGCCTCCCGTCACACCCCCAATCACCCCTTCTTCCTCCTTCCGCAGCAGCACACCAACAGGTACGACAGGTGTGTGTGTTGAAATGTTAGTTTGAGATGCAGAAAGATGGATTGTTCATACTTGTTGAGTGAATGGAGGTGTTGAAACCGACTAATGCATATTAACCCTATTGGTAAAAGTGACTGGGCAGAAAAACTCAAAACATAACATAACCAGCTCACCTTGTATTCAGTAAAGGAAAATGTTAATGGAAATTGCAAATTACTGTTTTAACCATAGAAAGTTATTTTGTAACAACTTGGATATGTTTTCATACAAGTAACTGAAATATTTGAATGATGAAGAAAATCTGCTCCCAGAGTACAAAGTAGAGGAGGCTAAAATCCCAACCACTGTCTACTCCTGCTGCTCCGTGTGTGTGTGTGTTATTTGTGTGTTGGCTTTGGTGGCCCCTGCAGTGAGCAGCCCAGTCAACACTCTGCTAATTACATAGCAGCTGTCACGCTGTGTGTTCACATGGGGCCGTGTGTTGCACAGCCCAGAAGCAGATGTCCAATTCCAGCCCAAATGGTTCCAAACATAGTGTTAGGTCTGGGCTTACGCACACACACACACACACACACACACACACACACTCGCACTCTTTTGACATGTGCCAGGGTGCCATCCATTTCCTCATGCTGAGGTGCAGCATTTCCTGTAAGATGGTGGGGGGGTCAGTGGGCCATTATGTGTGTGTGTCTGTGTGTGTGTATGTGCATGCCTGTACATTTCAGTAATGTGGTATGTGGATGTCTGTGTGTGTGTGTGTGTGTGTGCGTGCATGCCTGTACATTTCAGTAATGTGGTATGTGGATGTCTGTGTGTGTGTGTGTGTGCGTGCATGCCTGTACATTTCAGTAATGTGGTATGTGGATGTCTGTGTGTGTGTGTGTGTGTGTGCGCATGCATGCCTGTACATTTCAGTAATGTGGTATGTGGATGTCTGTGTGTGTGAGAGAGTGTGTGCATGCATGTGAGTGGAAAATGTTCTGCACTTAGCAAAGCACTTTTTCCAGGCTGAGCAATGGGGATCACTCCCACTTAATGATCTCTTTCTCTGTGCCAATCCCTGTGTTTTGACTCACAGGCACACACAGAAGCACATACACACAATCACATGCACACTACTGCTGTTTTGTCTGAGCAGTGCTGTCAGTGACGAGTGGGCTGCTAATGAATCAAAGTAGGAGCAAAGCATAGAAAAAAGTATTGATAAAAAGTCACAAATCATTTCTGTTTGGTAAATTCCAAAGGTATGACGTCCTCTTGGGTTAATTCCCCATCCATATTTCATCTGGGCTGACTAGCGTTTTTTTTTTTTTTTTTTTGTTCTGCGTGTCTGCATTGTGCCTCCAGGCAGTGAGTATGATGAGGAGGAGGTAGACTATGAGGAGTCGGACAGCGATGAGTCGTGGACCACAGAAAGCGCCATCAGCTCCGAGTCTATCCTCAGCTCCATGTGCATGAATGGGGGAGAGGAGAAGCCGTTCGCCTGCCCCGTCCCCGGCTGCAAGAAGAGATACAAGGTAAGCCTATGCCAGAGCACCGAGAAGTCAGTCCCAGCTACGCCGCCATCGGACACGAGGTTCACACTGGGGCTTTTGTCTGAGTATCACATGCCTGGACATAACTTAAAAGTTTGAAAAAGCACATTATAAATCCAGAATGTCATGATTGGAAGCTCTGATAAATATATCACGATGTATTTGCTTTGGTTGAATTTTATTACAGCGGGTAACAAAACATTCATTCAGCTTGCAGTCTGTGCTCCTTGACAAATGGACATTGTGGTAACATTACTCTCTTGTACCCTTTTTAGACCAAAACAGTGACGTGGGAGAAAGTCACATTTGGTGTTTATCTCAAAGGGGTCCACATGTGTTATCCAACCTGACTCGATATGAAATGGTGAAGAGGGGTTTCTGGAATAATTTTACTATAAAGGCTACTGTTGAATTATTATGATCAGTTGATGATCGGCAGTCAAAAGCTATATAATAAAATTTTTTAAATATAATGACTTTAAAGCTATAATCACACACATGTTTGTTGAATGTGAACAGATATTTTATTTATAAAGAGACCATTGCAGTTAACATTTTTATTTAAATAAATTTACCAAGGGGCTAACTCCATATTTGATTTCCCAAACTCAGTTGCAGGTTCAATTTTGGGCTGGACTATTTCTTGTGATTGTCAAGATTCACTGTGGCTTCCTGGAGTCTTGCCGTGTTATAAGAATGATGTAATGTGTTTATTAGTGACCTTTAGAGGCGCTGGTTGGTGGAATTTAGGTTGTGTTAAGTAAAGTATTTCAAATGTTGGTGTCCTGTATAATGGGTATAAATTAGCTGGATCTGGATAGGTGAAAAACATTGATTGGGACATCTGTATGTAAACAATTTGGTATAATGCTGTGGTTTAGCAGTAATGTGTATGTGTACGTAAAGTACTATAGTTCCAGGACTGGGTCAATAAGCTGTCAACTTGTGACCCCAGTCTGGTATAAAAGTGTAGAACAGGTGCTATTACATACATACGTATTATTACAAGGTCAAAATTGTGTGTCAAACATGGGGTTTGTGTGTAAATAGGCTACATGTAACCGTTCTCCCCTTTCCTAATGTTTGTCATCTTCCCTGTCTCTTCAGAATGTGAACGGTATCAAGTACCATGCGAAGAATGGCCACCGCACACAGATCCGTGTGAGGAAACCCTTCAAGTGTCGCTGCGGCAAGAGCTACAAGACCTCGCAGGGCCTGAGACACCACACCATCAACTTCCACCCACCTGTCTCCACTGAGATCTTGCGCAAGATTCAGGGCTAAGAGCCCATGGTCAAACCAATCAACTGCCCCAAACATAGCCCTATCCTGACTTTTCTTAGCCGACCGCCCCTTTTATACCCATCCCAAACACTAAAGGATCAAGTGCATGCTTTAAGTTCTTCAAATTTTTTTTCATCTTTTTTTGTTTATTTGTGTTACGTAATTTTTTTCTATCCATGTATTTTTGGAGAAAAACAAATGTATCTTTGTAGTATTTTTATTGTTGTACATTTGCACATTCGTATATGCTATCACATTTTTTTTATATTGTTACATAAGGTGCTAACTGTAAAAAAACAACAGAAAGAAAAGACAAAAAAACAAACAATATGAAAGAAAAGAGGGGAAACGCGAAAGAAGATGTGAAACAGAAAGTGCAACCAAGCCCTGCCCCTTTCTCTGCTCAGCTTTGAGTGGGGCGAAGTTGATGTTAGTGCTGATTTAAGTTCAGTGGTCGATACACTCTATTTCCGGGACTTCGCTGGGCTTAGATCTGTGCCTTTGCAGTAACGTCTGGGGGTTTAAGTGCGAGAGTTAAGTTATACTTTAATATATATATATTGATATATAAACAATAGACAGATATGTATGTGTACATACAAATATATAAAAGTATTCATGAGCATAGACATAAATAGTTACATTTTATTTTTAAGCTTCAAATTTCAAGCTTTATTTTATATATTTTTGTCAGTGTTTTAGATTATTTCGGGGTTTTTTTTCTTCTACGTATCAGTAAGTGTTCCTTTTATTCCTTATTTGCTGAGACGGCCAGTTCAGTCACATCAGAGGTGAAAGATCTCACTGACTTTAGGTTCGGAGAGTCAGGTTTTCTCTCGCCACATCCTAGAGATCAGGAGCTAATAGGCTGCGCCTTTCGGTACGACACACACACACGTCGTAATCACATGCTCATGTTTTACTGTTGATCAGGAAGGGACGCTGAACGTATTAGAACACGGCCCAGGCCAGTAATCCATATCTTAAACATTTCATCCCCGCAGGAAGCCATCCATGTATTTCATATCTCCTGTGTTTCCTCATTCAGAGTGCCAGAGCTGTGTTCCAGAGACTTAGCTGTGGAAGCAGGTTAAGCATCAAACCTTATTCCAGCTGCCAAGATCTTTGTTGTTGTTTAGTTTTTTCCATGATTGTTGCCAACAGCTCTCCACTGCCAAACATTGACCATACCATGTGCCTGATGAGGGGTGGGGGAATGAGTGGATGTACATCGACGGAATGTTTTCACGCATGCTTTCTGTGTCGTAACGAGAGAAATAATGTATGAAAGAAGAGGGTGGGTTTGTCTTTGAAAGACCTGTCATTTGTGTGTGTTGTAGACAAGAGCATTCCAATTCATTGTTTGTACTGTATGTGTGTGTGATGTGCATGAGTGCCGGGTGTGTGTGTTTTTCAGCAGTATCCAAGTCATCAGCCTATCGAGTGTTAGTGTATTCTGTGTGTTTCAGTGCTCAGATCTGTCATGTTCTCTGTGCCGGGCCGCTGGTTCGACTCCTGTGGAGCAGGATGGCTGGCTGGCTGGCTGGCAGCGTTGCGTCATGTAGTGTAGTGGTGGCCAACTTGTTGTCCCCTGACTGGGATTTCATCACTCATATCATTGCCTCTAGAAAAACAAGAGCGGTGTGGTGCCGCGTGCCAAGACACAACTGATTCATGACATCGTTTCCCTCATCGTGCACAATGTTTTTATTCTGCAGAAGGCTCAAAGCATGAGCTTTTTTCTGTTTTGTTCGTTTGATGGGAACAGTGACCTCTGACATGCACACACCCTCCTGTCCTCCAAGCTGCTGTTGCCATGGAAACCACTGGGTTAGCACAGCAAAGAGACCTCTTTTTAATACACTTTGATAACACTTCATTTTCTACATTGTCTTTAGAAGGCAGATGCCAGATTTTTTTCTTCTTCTGGCATTTGTTTATTTAACCCCCTAATTAATTTTATAGGGTTAAATAAACATAAATGATTTAACCCTTTCATTTCTTTTTTAAATGATTTCCTGACTAGTAATTACCATGTGACTGTACTGTACATGCAACGCCTTTAAGTCATGTGCAACCTTACAAAAGCACAAATGTGGCCTGAAAGAGCTCCAAAAACCTTGGTATCAGTTTCAAAGTACGTCTGTGGACTTCAGTACCCTGAAAGCAGCCATGAGATAATGGTGTGCGTGTGATACAAAGCTTCATTCCTGCTTTTCAGCGTAGGGGAAGAGTTACCATGGCTTGGATCAGAGCAGAGACAGGTCGAGATGGATGGAGACAGAGTGTCTCCCTTCAAAGCTCTGTGAAACACTCGTAAAAACCATCTCCACTTCACAGACATCGGCGTCACCGTGGCAATAGTTTCGGCTTTATACAGGGCCCAATTGCAGTATTAGGCTACACATATGGGAGAAGAGGAGCGGAGGCTGTGTGCAGAAGGAGGAGATGAGGGAGGGGTTTCAATATACTGTGTACAGTGAATGTATTGTAACGTGTCTTGTCAAGTGCTTTTAAATTATATTTTCGTATGTAACGTGGAGACCAATGTTTCCTTTTTGTATGGGGGGGACAACAGGTTCTGAGCGGAGTAACTTGTAAACAATGTCAAACTGTCTTTCTATATAAAAGAGAAGCTGCTTAAATGTAAACAGGAAGTGACTGAAAAAACTGCAAAATAAAGTAAAAAGCTCTTTAGCTCAGTCTGTTGGTCATGTTATTTATTCTCCTTTTCAACTCAAATAAAAGACAACAGTACAGTTTAACTGCATTTAGACAAGCTGAGTTTATTCATAAAGATCTTTGCAGTACACACTTACAACGCTGTCCTAACATTCTCACATGAAAATGGGCTGCATTGGACATATGACATACACACGTTTGCCTTGTGATCACTGGGCATGTGCAAAAAGCCTGAATACAACACTGTCAGGGGTCACTTGTGACAGAAAATAGACAAGCGGTGGTATAGAGACAGACATATAAATGACACTCACTCATGATGTGGACCTGCACCTAAAGCAATGAAGTTAGTGTCCTGCCATCTATTTGGTGAAAACAGTATCTCCAATAAAGAGGCCAGCTCGGCCTCTTACCGACTGACCAAAGTAAAACATCATTGTTCTGTCACTCTTTTACCATTAAAACAGGAGAGAAGTAACAATGAGAGGAGACAGGGTCACGACAAAAATTCACAGGTCTCTCCACAACTAATACTTATTTTCATATGTACAGTACATTCAGAATAAAGCCTTATTTAGTGCAGATACATGAAAGTGTAGTGCTGTTTTTGTTAAATCCATCGAACGTCTTTGCAAAACACTGTCATACGTAGGGAGAAATCAAAGACCGCTTCCCATTCCTGTCAGAAGAATCTCCACCACATCATTCTTCAATGAAATATACACACTAAGATGACTCTCTTAGACATCACATTCAGATATCACTCTGCATTTACACAAAAGTTTCATGTTCTTATCTCTTCTGCCTTTCTAAACTTTGATTCACGTGGACAATTGAAAGATGATTAAAAGATTTCTTGGCTGCTTTTTTTACAAGTGTTCAGGGTAGTTAGAGAACAGGGACATCGTCAACATACTAAAATGTTTCTTCTTCAAAGCCCTGGTATAAGATCCTGCTAAAATTAACTCTTTTAAGCTTGAACAGCTGTACTTTTGTACTTTTGAACACATAATAAATGCATGCACTATTGATGGTGCTTTAGTCCCTTGAAGCATAAAAATGAGCATAAAAATGATAGAAAAGGAAAGGACCGTGGCACTATTCCAGAGTGTAAATGATCCTTTTACCCAATGTGTATTAAGGTGAAAGCTACCCTACTTAATAAACACCTTGGTGGAGTAGCCGCCAAAGGACAAACTCTCAAACTTTCAGAAGTGCACTACATTCTTTATAACTTTTGTTAAGATCGCAAAAAAAGTGCTAATGATTGTATATTAACGAGACAACTTATCTGAACCCCGATCAAAATGAACTAACACACATTTACCCATAATTTCCATACCCATATTTCTAGGCCCTCTACACCCTTTATTCAACCTGCTCAAAGTTGAGCACGTGGCCGTCAAAGTGCGTGAGGACGTGCCTCTCGAAGAGCTGCTGCTGGCAGTTGAGCGGGAACTGCTCGGAGCAGACGGGGCAGACCTTCCAGTGGCTTTCCACGTGCTGCTCGAAGCTGCGCTGCTCAAAGTGGGGCGGGAAGATCACCTCGCATAACGGGCAACGCTTGTGAACGCCACTCCTGGAGTAAGAAAAGGAGAGGGTGAGAAACTGACTTTTTCTGTATGTTATTCCAGTCATATATATGTGGGTGTGTATGGGCTTAAATCCCCTCTAACCTCTCTTTGATATCTGTTTTTACTGATATCATCTGCTCTGCTTGTGTAATCTTACTCCTTCATCACACGTCTTTCAGTGAAACACCTTGATTTTAAGACGTTTTTCATTCTTCAGCCATTTGTTATGTGTGTGTGAGAAGGCACTCTACCTGGAGTCAAAGCAGAAGCTGCTCCTGGTTTCACTACCTCTACTGGACTGATGATCGCAGGATGGCTGAGCCCCATCAGCAGCCTATGAAACACAACAAAAGGATGGAAAACCACGGCCGTCTAATCGCTCGTAAAGCTGAACACACAACCGTCAAAGATGTTTACTAAAAAAAAGGAGAAAATGGGTTGAAAAGGGCAACCAGATAACTGAACCACTAAAGATGTGGGTGTTTGTTTCTATTTAAAGAAAAACACACAGCACACCCGACTCACTAGTCTCCATTCAGTTTGCTCCCAAACAATCAAAGATATAATCCAGCAGATGCTAACTGATCTTCGGTCTGTCCCTTTGCAAATTTTCCTTTAATTATTCTCCAAGCCCTTGTTATCTGCGTCTCTCTTGAGCTCCAAGGGAGTGACGTTAATTAGAGCTTTATGCAAATGAGTTCAGAGCTTCGCCATTTAAGGGCAAGCTGCTATTCCTTGCGTTCAGTGAGGAGGGGCACTCCAGAGACATATAGAAAGGGAATACAGTGAAAGCAATTCTTCGGATGCTGAAAACACAAAGCAAGGGCTTGAAGGTGAACTTGGGACCACAGTGACTGTGTCATGTGTTTATGTTGCTTTAAAATATGGGTGTGAAGTTCTGCAAAAAGACCTCTGGATCTGGATCTCTGAGGACAGCAAGCAGAAAACCACACATTAACATTGATTTTATTGTGTGTATTTCCCCAATGCAAAATCTGATGCGTGTGAAACCTCATTTGATACCGATACTCCAGTGGGGTGGCAGTGAGTTTGCGTGCACTTACATTTCGTGGCTCCTCCGGTGGATGCTCCAGGCTTTCGGGGGGGCTCGTCGTGCGGGAGGGCTGGATACAGACCACCTCTCGGTCCCAGCCTGGTGTCCCGGGGCCCGGACTCGGGGGTGTGATTGGGGGTGCGCAGGGAGCAGTGCAGGGTGGGGCCTCAGGTGGAGGACGGGTCATGTGCTCAGGGGACAGCGCAACATCTACCCGGTCTAGAAAAACAGAAATGCGTGGGACTGTTATTGTCCTGACCAAACAGCAGCAAAATACAACTAAGCTAAGCCGAACAAAGTTTTAATTCCTCCCACCTCTTGTGGTGTCAATGGAGTAGGGATTGCCATACTGCAACTCAGCGGGCCTCTGTGGCACCAGCGGTGGCGGAGAGGGGTCCTGAGGGTATGGCAGGGGGTAGCGTAGCACCATCGGCTGCCTCATCTCAGCACCCTGGACACCAGCTTCCTGCTCCCTCTGTCTGGACACGTAGCGCTGCAGCTCCTGGAGGGGAGACAAGATCCATCTCTGAGTGTCCCAGGACCTCAGAGGAACATGTCTTTTAAACTGATGTTTCTTATGACTCAGTATCCTTATGCTGTCCAGTTAAGCAATCAAACTTTGAAAAACCATCAGCACAAGCCAGCAACATCTGTTTGAAGAGAGAGGGGCTGACAGGAATAGCTGAGTTCGGTCGACATTCCCATAGCACATCTTCACTGTTGGAACCATACGGGGAGTTAAGTATTTTCAGCTCAGAGTTTAGTTTCCCATCTACATTGTTTCTGCCCTTTGTGATTATATCTGAAGCAAGAGCATTAGTACCCTATTCATTACTGTAATGGGTGTCAGACTATGGCTCCCTCTCTGTTCTGGCTTTGCTGATAGAGGCACCTGCTATCTCCATCCCTTTAGCTCCCTCCTTCCACTCCTCCCTCCTCTCTTGATGACTTCATTAGTGCGCTGCTATCAGGTTTAACATTTAAACCAGGGTTGGGAAGGTGAAACAGACACGTCGCGTGGCATTTGCACTGTCTAATGGCACTGTACCAGCAGGCGAAAGAAGCAAGTATAGATGTATTAATTAGTGGGACTATGGAGAGTGGAAGGGATGGCTGCAGAAGGCACATAAATTGAATGTGAAGATACTGCTTAGGGTTTCAATTGAGAGCCTTCATTATCTACATTTCCCCTGTCAGAAGCTAAACATTGAGATGCAAATGTCTGCAGTTTGAAACCAGATGGCTTTTCTCCAAAAAAACTGTAACTTTAATTCACATTCATTATCAAAATCTGCACCGTTCCAGCAGTGAAGAGCCGATCCAGCAATGGCTCATTTATACAGAGCTGATACCTGCTAAGAAGCAGCAATGTTGCAATGGGAACAAACCAGCCATGTGTGTATAAATAGCGTGCTGTTTTACTTCCTGCAGTTGCTCCTTGTCTCTGAGGGCCTGGGTGAGGTTGCGTTTCAGCTCCGTCACCTCACTGGCTCGCTCTGCCATCTGCACCTACAGACAGAGCACACACAAAGAAAAGAAAAGAAAAAAAAATCCAACATTGCAACAGAGTAAATTACAATGAACAGCTGACATTCAGTAACCAATCAGATTTCCTATAGAGGTGTCATGCAGCATCAATATACCTGCCAGGGGACGCTATGGGGTGAAACCAAACTTGAACTGCAACCTACATTTTGTTTTTCATTATCGATTAATCACATTTATTTATTCATTTTTTGGGTTTCCAGAGTGCAGAGAGGTTTCTTAAAATGTCTTCTTTTGTGGTCTGATAAAAAATCCAAAACCCAAAGATATTACCGTTCCCAAGAAACTGGAACCATATATTATGTGGTGCTTTTGCGTCATAAATGTCTTTTAATTAACAATTAATCAATTATCAAAATTGCTGATGATTCATTTTCATAAATGAAACTAAACTTCTCCATTAACACCAGTGTTTCAATTATCCCGTCTTTCTCCTCCCATGTGTACTGACAGACACAATGAGTTTGCCTTTGCCCTCTGTCATTAATAGTACTTTTCTGAGTAGCAAGTGCTTGACTGAGTATTTAGCTGGCTTGCTAATGATAATTAAGGGAAGGGAAAAAACACTGGAAGGTACGCAAGAAATTATTGCAGCCCACTGCTCTAAAATAAATAGACAAGAAAAATGCAGAGGTTGAATAATAAAATACAGAGAGCTGCAACTAAAAATTATCTTTATTATTGATTTATCCAACTTCCTTACTTTCTTGATTAACTGATAAATCCTTTGTTCTATAAATGTCAGAAAAAGCCGAAGGCGACTTCTTCAAGTGTCCAAAACCAAAGACATTTAATCTACTACCACTTACGCCAGAGAAATGCAGCAAATCCTCACAACTGAAAAGCTGGAGCTGGTGAATGTTTCTGCTTGAAAAATATCGATCGACTAATTGACTTATTGCTTCATCTCAAAAAAGCACTAAATTAACATACTAAACTGAGATATCTCTTTCTAGACTCTCGCTCTTCCCTTCCTTCCCTTTTCGCTGCTTTCACGCTGGACTTCCACTCGATTCGTGTCAACTGATAAAGAGGAATGTCAGTGAACACAATATTTGGTCGGTTGTGTTTTATTTAACCTGAAGCGGTGTCAAACGAGTGGCGCTTACTGTAAAACACACACGACTAACGCCACAGAAACAGGGTCTGTGTCCGGGGCAGAATGGAGGAGCACTGCAGACCGGGAGATCGCAGTAAATCTCTTACTTTCGAACAGGACTGACCCTGTGGGATAGTTTACATGGCTAGTTGCCTGCTCTTCTCTCATTTCATCCCCTCCTCTCCAGCGGTTTCTCTGCTTCATGTCTGTCTGTCTAGCCTACCCTTTTCACTCTTAAATTCTGTTTGCTTCTTTTGCTTTCCCCCTCATTCTCTTTCATCTCCTTTTGTCCTCTCTCGCTCTCTCCCCTCTTTCGTGAATTTACGGCGCAGCATTAGAGGGTTAAGTTCAGGTGAAAGGATTCTGCAGCAGTGTATTTCTGTGACAACCCAAACCCCCCCATCTCCTCTCTCCCCATCTATTCCTCTCACTCGCACTGGGAGGCTGATGTAAACAGCCGTAAAGCATGCCGTTCTGAGGCTGCCTCTCTTGTCAGTCTCCGGGGCCATTAAGAGCGGCTCGGGGCCCGGGGCACTCGCCTCAGACTGGAGACTCTATCAAAGACAGGGGAAAGCCTTATTTACAGCGCTGATAAACACACACTCACTCATGGAGATTAAATGCCAGTGGGTACTTTGGCGGACCTTCGCACGCAAAATCCAATGGGTGCACATAGACGCAACAAGCCTAAGTGCTCGTATTGAATCACACACACATACCACACACATCGGATCATGTGCGGCACTGATGCCGTGGCCATGTGAACAATGCATGGAGTAACACGGTTGCTCTGATTAATGCATGCTCAAGAAAACTGTCATGAATATCTGCAACTCTGTGAGCAAGTGCAATTACTGCTATTTATAAAGCAATTAGCACAACAGTCCTGCAACAACAATTACTTCATCTGTCCAAGTTCAGCCACTAGCTATACCCTTTCTCCTTCAGTCAGCAATGGTAAGACACTTTTTAAAAGATCTGCCTCGTAGTTTTTCTGCTTTATTTGATAGATGAACACAAAATGATTCAACACCGATTTGTTAATTACCAGTTCAAGTTATTTACCAAGCAAAATTGAGGAGAAAATGCCAATCCTTCACCAGCCTGTCAAATGTGAGGATTTGCTGCTTTTTTTGGTTTTATTTATTTATTTTTATTATTTGTATTATTGTAAATGTAATTTTGTTGTTTTTTGCACAGTTGCTTGGACATTACTCCGGATTAAATCCTCTCAACTTCATTCAAAAGACTGGATTTCTTTGTTTATGTAACTACATCCTGAAAGAAAGTATCCAAATTAAATGGACTGGAAAATCAACTTAACTGTGCAACGAGGATAATGAGAATAGATTAGGTGTATGAGAGGCTTCCTTTCACATTTATCGAACAACACTAAAGCATTCATTATAATTTTAATCTTTATTTACAAAGGAAATGTCTTGCTGAGTGTGCACTGGGGGCAAAAACACTTTGCTTGATCCCTCATATTTCCAGCACCAACAGTCACAACTCCCCGAGCTTTGAGCTATATGGTTTATATGTTTGTGTCTTACTCTGAATCGCTCCTCCTCGTTGGCCAGCCGCTGTTTGAGCGTCTCGTTGATTGCACACTGCTCCCTCCACTTCTCCTCCATCATCGCCAGCTCCTCCTCCACCGAGAGGGTCTGTTCCTTCTCGGCCTCCCCCATGCTCCTGCCCTGCGCCTCCAGCAGCACCTGCTCCGCCATGACACCCCTCACTTCCTCAGCCTTCCCTGCCATCTCCACCTTGCTGTTCTCTTCAGCAGTCGAACTCTCGTTGTCCACCTCCACCCAGCTCGCCATCCTCAGGCTCTCATCCGTCAGGCTGTCCTTCTTCTCCTCTTTATCTTTCTCTCTGTCCTCTCCTTGGTTTGCTTCTCCTTCAGCCTTCACCTCGGCCCTCTCCTTTGGACTTCTCTCTCTTTGCATTCCTTCCTTCTCTGTGCTGATGTGTGCATCAGTATGTGTGGACTCCCTGTTATTAAGTGCTGTACTGATAGTCATCTCAGCAGCGTCTTGTAGGACTGCAATTGCTATATTACCTGTTAAACACACAAAGTAAAAACAGAACATGGAAGATTACATAGTCAGCAGGACAGTCTTTAATCCAGGTGTTAACTTAACTTAAAATTAGGTGCTAATAATAGGTACAGTATCTCACAAAAGTGAGTACACCCCTCACATTTTTGTAACACTGAAGACATGACACTTTGCTACAATGTAAAGTAGTGAGTGTACATCTTGTATGACAGTGTAAATTTGCTGTCCCCTCAAAAGAACACATCACACAGCCATTAATGTCTAAACCGCTGGCAACAAAAGTAAATATACTCAAATTGGGCCGAATTAGCCATTTTCCCTCGCCGATGTCATGTGACTCATTAGTGTTACAAGGTCTAAGGTGTGAATGGGGAGCAGGTGTGTTAAATTTGGTGCTCTCGCTCTCACACTCCCTGATACTGGTCACTGTAAGTTCAACATGGCACCTCATGGCAAAAAGGATACTTTATTTCAAGACAATCACCTTTTATTTTCCTTATAATAATGATAATGAGAACATGTAAAACAAACAAAATACAAATAAAAACACTGGGAATGTTATTTTTAAATTTTCAGAGACTGTGCATGAACATGTTGTTTTAAGATGTGCATGTCTGTGTCTTGGCGAAGAGAGTGATAGCAATAGCATAGTTTTCTCCAGTCAAGTAAAAGTGAGTCACACCACGTTATGTTATGCGATTGCAATGCACTACTGTCGACTGAAGATACTACTAGTGGGAAATCTGGTATTTCTACCGTTTCATTAAAAGGAAAATAAGAGGTGGGAGTACCTTTTCTACAATTAGATATTAGATATCAGAACATTGACACAGATTAACACGTTTAAGCATTGGATCAGACAAACAAAACTAGCCTGTTGCCATGGTATCAACCTATGTATGTCTGGCTAGTTCTCCCTGGGAATAAGACATGTACAGCACATCTTCAAACATGTATATCACTATGTAACTGAAGGGAGATTCATTATGTAACAACATGCACATACATTTTTGCACTTGAATGCACGTGCCTGTGTGTCTACCTGCTGTTGGTGACTCTGGACTCGGGGTCAGTGGCTCCTGCGTTGTCTCGGTGGATGCATTTCTCTTTGGCTCCTGCAAAAAATACACACAACAACTACAATTTATCAACAACATGTAACTGCTACTGGTTCCAGGCATAAATTCACCTGTGTATAATATTTCTTTATGGCCCTGTCTTTTTGCTCCACAGTACTCACCCCCTGTGTCTCACTTGTGTTCAGCTTGGCCACCTGCCTGCGGAGGCGCTGACACTCCCGGTACTTCTCCTTGTAATGCTCAGCAGCCATGTGAAGACGCAGCTTCAGCTCCTCCACCTCCCTCTGCAGTTCGGCCTCTGCCTCTGACACCACCATCATGCTGGCTGTCAACTCCCCACTTGTTCCAACACCCTGGGACAGAAAGAAATTAATGGGACATTTTGAGAAAATGTGAAAAGTGTGAGTATTCTCTCAGGAAAAACCTTTCATTCGCTTCGGAATTAGAGCACAGAAAGACAAGAGGTACAGAATAAGAATAAGGAAGTAGGACACTGACCACTTCCTTCTGTGCAGTGCTCCTCATGCGGTCTAGCTGGCTCTCCATGCGTTGGCACTCGGCCTGAGCATCAGCAAGACTTGCACGGAGCTTGTCAGCTTCCAAACGGGCGCGGTACAGCTCGGTCATCGTGTGGTCGCGGGCGCTGGCTGAATCGCGGAGCTCCGAGGCCAGCAGGGAGGCCTGCTGCCTGCACGCCTGAAGTTGCTCCTCTGCCTGACGGAGGTGCTCACGCACACGGGCCAGCTCTGCCTAAAACATGTAGAAGGAAATGATATATATAGATTCACTGATATTACTATACAGAGACATGTGGGTTCATTATGCAAGTGGATGCTCACACACAAGATAATTGACAACAATCTTATTTGTGTTTATATTTTCTAGTTTTCTTAGTTGATCCAGGCAGTAACATTTCAAACAACCACTACTACCTTGTCAGCCTTGTGTGCCAGCAGCTCTTTCTCCAGGCTGTCCCGCTGGGCAACGCAGGCCCGGAGCCTGTCCAGCTCCTCCTGGAACTGGGCAATGGTCACCTCCCTGTTCAGCTCCACCGCCTTCAGCATCTGCAGCTCTGCACTCAGCTTTGTGTTCTCCAGCTCGGTGCTGCGCAGGTGGTTCTACACGTGACGACACAGAGAAAGAGAAAAATGCAGAAGTCAGAATAAAGACAGAATCACACAGGCTTTTAGCCTTTTAGCTCCAGTATGAAGAGCTCTCTCCCACCTTGTAGAGGTCTCTCTCATCCTTCTCGTTCTTCAGCTGGCTCTCCAGGTTGTCTCTCTCTGCTGTCAGCTTCTTCAGACGGTCACGCAGACTGTGACATAAAATGTAACTTTTGTTCAGCTTTCATCTTCCCACCAATTCTCGTGCTACTGTTTAGTAACAAAGAGGACAACTTCTGAAGACCTTTCAAATAGTGTGTGTACAGGTTCCCAAATTATTAACCGCCACCCACTGAATGTCAGTTTTTGCCAAAAGGCTAGGTTGCACAGTCACACCCCATCATTCATCTACGGGGGTTGAGGAAAAAAGCGGATGAGAGGAGCATTTAATACAATGCACTAATATATTTGTGGAATAAATATCCCCCTTGTGAAGCTTAGGTTTAATTTTATGGCATCAGGGAGGTTGATTCAATCTGATCATTAGCTGTGATTTGCATTATTGCACTATTTTGTCCATTGTAATGTAGGCCAGTAGAAAAAAAAGATGAAGATAATTAAGGTTAATTAAGGAAGCAGAAGGCAGGAAGAAATCCTCCTCAAACACAGTTATTTAAACAGTCATATCCTCACAGAAAGGGCGAGTGTGGATGATTGACAGTCACATGTTCGCACTCTCCACTCACCAGTCGAGCTCTGTCTCCTTTTGCAGGCCTCTCTGGGTGACTCCCAGCAGGTCCTCCTCCAGCTGGCGGACCCGGTCTGTGGCCTCTGTCAGCCTCCTCCTAACCTCCTCCCTCTCCTCTGACAGGCCCTGAGATGAGCGCAGCAGCTCCTACGGGACAGAGAGGCAGCTGTGGATCACAGTGACAGGCGCCCCAGCCAATCACAGCCCCTGAATCAGGAGACTGTATGTGGCAGAGGAGTAAGAATGCTGGACAAAGTCAAGAGCTTCTACTTAATACTTTATACACAGATGGTTATATTTCAGGTGTGACAGTCAGGTTGTATGTATTTGACGCACTGCTGTGTTATTTGTTTTTATATGTTTTATGCACATTATATTTTTTTTACATACACTCAGTTACACTTTATTAGGTACGCCCATTTATAACTAATGCAGTCTATCACTTCAACAGCCCCGCAAAAATCCTGCTTTCATGAAGGTTACAGTGGTCTGTTTGAGATTTGCACTACTGCACTGATTTTTTTTTTTTTTTTTTTTGCACATGTGTATTGCAAAAAGATTTGCAAAAAAATCCATAAATTCATGGATACAGTCTGACATATTTGTATGCATCTTGCATTGCATGCATCTGCATCTTTTTTGTGTGTAAAGGTGTTTTCTACCTTTAAAGCCTGTTCCTGGTGCAGCTGTGACATGTGAACTTCCCCTCTGGGGATCAGTCAAGTCTTATCTTATCAATCACAAATCGCCAGTTACAAATTATGACTCATGTGAGCCTTTTGATGGACGCAAAACACACATTCAGTATCTGAAGTTAGCGAAATGTTCAGTAGCACCTAACTGAACAAACAGAAACAATATGTGGTAAATGCAATGCAGGGAAAAACCTGTACAGTATCAGTGGACTTCCTGGTAGCGCACAGCAGATCATATATATCTGTATACATATCTGTTCTCTCTATGGGGCCTTCTGAGGAAATGCCTTGTTTGAACTTGCTGCTAATCAGCAGTGAAGGACATTAACTCATCCATAGCTAATATTGCCTGTGACAGAACAACATACCTGTGCACACACCCTCCCTTCTATTTGTAGCATTCACACACACACACCTGCAGGAAGACAGAGACACAGCTACACATTAAAGTACATATGGAGAGAGACAGATAGCACAGAGCACAGCCATCAATCCAAAAAGAGACGCATGTACACACCAATGCGTACTCAGGCCTGTCTCCCTCTGGGCTTGGCTCTGCGTAGATTACTGTATGATTTTTACGGCTGGCGTTTGGGAAGCACTTTAGCAGTGCATAAAGACCTTATAAAAAGTGTAGTCGTAAAATTAGCAGCCACAAAATATGTACTTATGTTTTCATGTTAAACTCGGGATATTTTCATCAGCGTGGCATGAGCTAACACACCTACTGTAAACGCTCCACAAAAGAGAGACACACACCTACTCACACAAGTCGTATATCTACAGATGGACATGCCTGTTGAATGAAAAGCAGCACGGTAATAACAGTGTGTGCGCGTGTGCGTATTACCACGGAATTTATGGCGATTTTGTCCTTCGTAAAAAAGAGCAGCGGACTAACTCAAAGCAGCCTCCTCTTGCTCTGAGCCTACACCAGTGAGCTGCACTAGGGGGCAATAAGAGACTAGAATCTAACTCAGAAATCTCTTCGCAAGTTTCAGCTTTCACTTCTCCCTTCTGTACCCCCCCCCCCCCATTGAGATTCCTTGAGTTGACTGTTTTTTAGGTGTGAGTGCCAAGTTACTGCTTATCAACTCATTAAATGGTAAAATATGAAATATGACTCATCCTGGCGAGTGAGTGAGTGAGTGCATGGGGAGGGAAAGGAGTAAAAAGTAGATGAAATCAAAGTAAAAGTTGACATTTTAATAACTGAATGATTCTGATTAATGTTCCCAAATATACTGTTGTTTACCTTGCTTTAGCTGAATTGATAAATTCATGTGTTTTAACGCCAATAAACCAACTCCAAAAATGAAAACACTGAAAATTAAGAGAAAAAGACAAGGACAGCTAGACGGGGAGAAAATAGACAGTGAGAAAGCAGTGGCCACTGAATCGCGTGACTGAGTGGTGTTTGTCCCTGAGGCTGGGCAGGGCTCTTTTTTCAGGCAGGCGGTTTTGCGGACTACCCTCCTCTCATTCCACACACAGACTAAAAGGGTTTGCAAGCGGGTGGCATAATGAGTGTGTTTGTGTTTGTGTGTGTATGTGCGCGCACGCTTGTGCATGTGTGAATGCACATTAGAGGGGCCCTGTGGTGTGGAACCTGAATGTGAGAGTGAAGGGGGGCAGTTTATGTATGCGAATGAACGTGTGTGTGTGTGTGTGTTTGACGTCATGTTCGCTCTGTGGCTGCGATGGCATCGTCCCTGACGCCAGATGCCCGAGAAAACGTCGTCCCAATTCCGTTCTGGCCCACTGAGTCAGGTCGTTAAACAGGGAGAGAAAGACTGGTGGGTGCACACACACACACACACTCACGCACGCGCTGCGGGTCGAACAAGCACACAGATTATTCATAAATTCAGGGCCTTTGAAGTTTTCAGACCTGTGATCACTGGTGAGGAACTGGCTCCACACACACACATGTGCAAATAGAGACCGTCTGTTTATGTACACACTCAACCCTACACATGTACACACACTTGCATGTACATACACATGTGCGCAAAGACACTGACTCACCTGTCTGTTGTTGTTAGTCTTTTTTTGTTAGCTGCAAAATCACAATTTACTGAATTCTTAAAAGTATTGAATGTATTTTTTCTTTTTGACTTATGAACTAATAATACTTAATATTGTTTAAGCAATTATTTTTGGATCTTTTTCTAGTTAATTATATGACACTCATCACCTGTGGTGACAGGACAGGGTGGGACAGGGTTTAATTGAGCAAGCATGTAGAAATGTGTGTAGGACAGGGCATCGGCACATTCTTTCATGTTGTGTTTTGTTTGTCAATCAGCTGAAATGAAGGTAACATTATCTAAGACGGTGGCATTGGGAATTGGACTGTGTCACATGTGAGCCCGGCAAAGGTAGCGGCGCTTAAAAAAGTGTAAAAGAACAAGCCACCACCACCACTGTTAATCTCAACACCTTGTGATCAGTAACATTAAACCTTTATTTAATTCTATAAATATATTCACAAACTATGTCTACTCAACCTATACTAATGTGCGTTGGGTGTGCATAAAGAAAAAAGAAGCTTCCTGCCATCTCTCTCTCTAACCTGGTTGTGTGTCCGCAGCAGGCAGCACGTGTCCCTCTCCTGCTCCCTCTCCCTGGCCAGCCGCTTCTGCTCCTCCTGCAGCTGCTGTTTCTCCTCCTGGAGGAGACGCATGGCTTTCAGCAGCTCATGGCGCTCCTGCTGAGCCTCCTCCACATGCTGCCAGCCAGGAGGTGAGTAAAGGGTAAAAAAAGGAAGGAGGTGAGAATGGTGCCTGCTAAGATTGTATTTGTGATACATATATCTGTTGTTTATTCGTTATGTCTGTCTAGAAGAACAATAATTTAATAGTTTATTAATGCCAAATGGGGATTTCTCTCTTTTCACCAGATGTCAGAGGTCACGTTCAGGTATAGGACAGAACTTCTGGATCTGGTGGGGATCTAGTACCTTGCTGTAACAGCACCCTTTAATGGGGGCCTACCTCTAACAGGCCAGTCTTGGTGGTGACGACCAGTATGTCTGAGTTGCTGTCGTCCTCTGTAACAGTCAGCAGCTCTTCGGTGGGAGTGGCTGACCTGAACTGGAAGGGCGTGCTGGCTCCTCTGATGTCACCAGTGTGTGTCACATAACAAAACTGGTAGAACTCTCCGTCAGATTTAGGAACATAATAACCTGCAAAAAGATAAAAGTGGGTGTTAAAATTGTCTTTTTCATTTTATTGAATATTAATTTAGTCAGGTAGTATTTGAAGTTGGCCTGACTGAAACTTTTCAACAATATCTACTGTTTGGATACTAAATTTAAATGTATCAAAAAAAAACAACATTCAATTTACATGGGTGACACATAATTTACATGCCAATATATATTTTTAGCCCATAGCTCCACTGTGAGCTCTCACTGGAGCACTCCATTCACACGTTAGGTCTGGTTCTCTGGAACAGTACAGTAAGTACAGAACATCAAGCAGCCAACCGGTTTAACTGACTACTGACACAGCACAGCACGCTCTCATATTTTCACTGTGTAGTATCTGACCTATTCCAGGCCCAGTAAAACTAGTTTGCAGGCCCTCGACCTGTGTGTGTGTGTGTGGTTTGAGAGGTGCTCAGGTCCCAGGCCGCCATTTGCGGTTGTGTTCCCTTATTAAATAAAAGTGCTGGTTTTTATACTTGCCGTAAAATGGAGGAGTTACTTTAGAGTACCCTGGGTCTGTACAGTGGTTTACATAATGTGCATGTGCGTGAGCGTGAGTACCTTGAAACACCACAGTCCTGTGCACAGTACTTCCCGGTTCATAGTTTTCAGGCATGGGAGACCAAAGGAAAGTGTAGTAATCTCTGGCTGTGTTCCATCCCACCTGAGTACATAAACCACATTGAAAATGCTGTTCCACAACACAAAATAGCGCAGACGACATTTTATTTTTTATTTTAAAAACTGAATAAAGAAGATTACATACAATGTTCAAAGCAAGAATGGAAACATTTAAAACCATGCTCCCTCATTCTTCCACACACCTCCTCTCTCCTTCCCCTCAGTTCCTGCCCCTTCTGGGCTCGCACAAAAGAGGGGCAGTGAAGGTGTGAGAATGGGGTGGGAGCACACGGGTGTATGTTGCATTGCGTGTGCGTGTCCACATATGCACAGACTCGTGAGAAGGCAGAGAACAACCCATGTGGAAATGAGAGGAGGGGGGAGAAAGAAAACTGAACGTGTGAAGAAAAGGTGAAAATTTTACACAAAATGGCAAGGGAGATGTAATTCCATGGATTTCATGTGTTGTTAGGTGACAGATGATGAAAGGGAGTTGTGAACATCATAACTCAGGTCCTACTTCGTAAATCTGTCGCGCACAACCGCACACTCTCCATGTCTGGGCCGCTCACGCACAAACACACCATGCTCACACACACACCATGTTTCAACTGACATGTGCGATACGTGCTTGCGGCATTACATAACTGCACTTCAGCTGTGGATACCTCAACCACCTGGGGTTGCTTTGGGGATTTCTTACATTTTAAAAATGGAGGAAAAGTGGGACAAGAGAAAGTCTCTTTTGGACAGCTGCCACATATTAATCATTTCATATTACAGTATAGACATTTCGTTGACTATGCTGTAGTTAAAATTATGGGACGCACAAAACAGTGGGAGCGGTTATGCTTTTGTTGCATTTTAAATGAGCCATAACTTTTTCCAAAGATGAAAAAATAACATGCCAGTAAATGTTTACTACGTTCACATTAAAGCATTTCTGCAGTTAAATATTTAAATAAACAACTATCAAATAACAATTAAATGATTTTGAGTTAAAATACCTGACAAAGCATTGGGAAGCTTGAACTGGCAACAGTAAATCAACTGAGTTACTGAAAACATTTGTCAAAATTTCAGGTTCGCTAATGCCTCTGCATGATACCTAATTGCAGTGTATTCCTTATCAGCCCATTACACTGAGTATAATGCTATTCCCAACAAATGGTAATTGTTAGCGTGGAAACCCAGGCCAAGAACATTCTTTCCACATCCAGCGGTATCTCGGTGAGAGGCTAGGCTGTCGACGGGCTCCTGCCAACTTTGCTTGTGTGCTCACATGTATTTGCTTAAGAGAGAACAGACATAAATTAATTTTGGTAATTGCAGAGTGAAGTTGACTGACGTTTGGTTAGGTATGGTGTGGCATTCCAACACGGGAGTGAGGTTATAAAATAATCACAGGCAAAGCAGCTATCAATCATTCATTCAAGGTGTGGGGGAACAGCACGATGACACGTTAATTATACACTTACACAACGGGTTTCTCCCTGCCGACCCAACAAACATGCCACAACCAAAAACCTCCACAGGGCTGTTTAGGGGGCTATGCATGTGTATGAGTGTGTGTGTGTGTGTCAAAGATAAAATAAAATTAAACCAAGCTTTCACTGGACAAACAAAAGGAAAAGAGATATCTGCAATTTAACAGTAATGTATGGAAAATGTTGTCACCATGCTGGAAAACAAAAGAAAACTTGCCAAGCATGATTAGAGTATACTCTGTTGATGTGTACTGTATGCATTTCATGTGAGTACTGCTCAGTTATCTAGGAGGAAGTTTGTTATTCCAGGATCCCTGTTATTTTACCATTAACATTTTCAGCCACTAGGGGGTGTCTGTGCACAACTCAAAAGAGCAGGGCCTGTCTGTGCAGTCTGAGTCATCCTCACTGCAAGCCAGCTTTATTGCTCAGTGTCTGTCTCTGAAACAGGTAACGCCTATAGATGTGAAAGGTCCGAGGGGGGAGATGCTCCGTCCCTGAGTCATCTGTGCACAAAGGTGTTTTTCCCCTCTGGGAGGCAACATGACACATATGACAGAAAACTAACATTTTCATAGACGTAGATCATCGGCGATAAGTGGGAAAGTCAAATCTAATCAGTCATTCTTGACAGTCCACAAACCTGTTCCCCAAACAACCTGACGAAACTTGAAGCCAAAACAAGCGATTTCATTAGCATTTATATGGCGATGTGAGTTCATCTCCTAATATGATAAAAGTGGATGATTATTATTTGTAAAAGCGGACACAAATCATTAGCTCATTATCGACTGAATGGTTTATTCTAATAATATACATGCTCAGCCAAGATTTTGCCAGAATTAAAGAGATAAATATCTCAAAAAGACAGACACGTACATGTCAAAATGATTAAAGAAGCGTGATTTCCTTGTTCCCTGACATGAAGCACCAACCATCAAACAGGTTTCATTAGCGTGGATTACAACGATTAAATTTTCCAATTGGCTTTTTTCCATATAAACCCAGCATCTTTATTCCTTTTTAAGTGAGCTGGTGGATTTGAAGTCAAGTTCTTAAACAACAATAAAATGTTTGTCTTTTGACTTTACAAGACATTAAGTTTCCTAGTTCACATTTCCTGTTAATTACGTGTGAGATTTGATGGCCTTGATAAAAGAGTGGAGCGGAGGCTGGTTAGCAGGAAGCAGAGAAACGGTTGATGGAAAGACAGAGGGGAGCGAATGAGTGAAGGGGGGGGAGTGAGAGGTCCTAATAAGAATCAGAGTGGTTCATAAAGAGCACCAAATGTTTGCCCCCCAGCGAGACCTACTGCAACCAGCCCACCGTGTACACTCTTCCTCTTTCTGCGTGCAGGGCAACCACACCAAAGAGTGTGGTGAGGTTTTAGGCATGTAGTGAAGAGCTGAACCATTAGTGTCATGGCAGATGTATGTGTTAATGTGCCAACTGAAAACCTATGGCCAATTAATAAAACCCTTACACATTATCCATGTCACAAACACTTATGTAATAGGCTTGGGTCTCTCAATATCTCTTTTTAACATCATTTATACAGATTCATTAAAGCCTGGTCCTTAATTGATTATGTTTGACGATGTCTTTGAAGCGTGGAGACAGTAAAAGCAGCTGTGGTGTGTGTGTGATGTACCTTGAAGATGCCCACCCAGTCTTTGGGGTGGGGAGCGATGTAAGGGGTCAGGGTGTAGCGACACTCCAGGGGTGCCTGGGGCAGGAAACTCTTCCCCACATTCTGAAAGATGACGTGGGCAAAGTTGGACGTTTCCATAACGCTGACGCTGCTGCCCGGCGATGAGTCCACCACCTGGAACGATGACATTGTGTCCTGTTGGTCACTTCATTTGTCTGTAAAGGGCCAGAGAGCAGAGGACAGAGTAACTGAGCAAACAAACAGTAGAGTGAAGGGGAGGTTCAAGTATTTCTTTAAGTCAAACACACACACAAAAAAATAAAAAGACAAATTAAGCAAAAAGATAGTATGAGTTCCCACATCATCGCAGAACATAAATATGAGTCTTTTTCTTATTCCTATCTAAAATGAGGTTCAAGGATAGACGGTGTGAGTTGCTGGACAGATTGTAAAGCCCTCTGAGGCAACTTTGTTCATTTTGAGCTGTATAAATAAAATTGACTTAACTTAAAATAACCATAGGTCCATCTTGCAGAGCAAAAACCGGCAGCCAATCATGTTATAATATTTCTTGTAACTGGTGGATTTTATCCCACAAAGAAAACTTTTGTTTCATGACTTCAGCCTTTCAGATAGTGCCGTCACCAAAGCAACTGGTGCACCATCCTAAGCCTGGGAAGAAGCGCTGGGGGGGAAAATACTTCCATTGCTGACTTTCCATAACCTATGAGCTTTGTGAAGGGGTACAAAAGAGGAGTAAATGTAGGATTTTGAATTCAAGACTTTTATAGTGTGGTATTGTACTTAAACTCCATGGTTTCTACTTGTCAGAGTCAGAGATGGTGATGGCCAGTGAGCAAAGCCTCGGGCTTTAAACCAGACAGTGACAGTGAAAGTGAAAGAAAAGGTGCATTACAGGACATATTGTATCTTGTGTGTATTGAAGCCTGACACATAATAGAGACTAAAAGGAAGGATATCTCTGAACCATGAATTTTGATACTTTGTTTTGAATTTGTCTCTTGCAAGTCTCCTGGTAAAAGATACTTCTTTCACCAAATAATTGTAATAACAACTTTATTTAAGCTTTATAGCACCTTCCAAAACCAAAGTTACAAAGTGCTTTGCAAAAAAAACAAATAATAAAAGTAAATAAGATCCAAAACATAAGCTATAGAACAACATAACATGATTTTAATAATTACAACAGTTACCATCCATTTAGAAAGAGGGTAGTCATGAGTAGAGGAAGAGCAGGTGTGTAGCTGATGCAACTGCTTTGCATCACTGTCATCCATTCATCTTTTCCTGGATGAGAACAAAGCTAAAAACAACACAACCCGCCGCCCTACACTTCCATTTCACCCAACGGCTGGACTCCTCAGTATGATGAACGAATGTGAAAGTGACAACTGATGCTCATTTCAGCTAACCAGCTAACATAACATAGTATGTACATTGAGCCACAGCGACCAAAGCTTTGTAAATGTTTCACGAAACAGCTAACATACAGCTAAGCCAGATGAAACTACCTCCGTTAGCCAGAGGATAATCTTATTTACGATGGCTAAGCAGCTAACATTAGCTTGTGAACAGGCCATGTCGTGTCAAGTCACTGGCTAGCTAAACATGATCCTAGTCGGTCAAGCTAGCTTGCTGACACAAGACACGTATAATACAGGCATTCATTTAGCTTGAAATTGAAAGAGTACCCTTTTCATATGAATTCCACTTGCGAAAAAGGTGGAGTTTTCTCTGGACAAGCCGATGTTTTTGCCACTGTCCCCGTTGTTGTCAAAGCTCTGACGATGATGCGTCTCTTCCTGAAAGAGCAAAATGATGCTGAACTTCCGGGATGCTGAGCTGTACCAAGGATGCTGAGGATGCTAAGGGGGGAAAGCAGATGTCTCTGCGACTGTGGAGATCTCTATTAAATACTTAAGTTACTTAAAAGTTAAACCAGCTCACCAATTATTTTCCCTTGCTTCACAGATTTGTGTCTCTTCTGATTGAAAACAATACTACCACATAATGCTTGTGGAGATCATCTGCTGTCACTAAATATTTAACATTCATTGCAAAGCAAAACATATACTGTACAGCCACTTGTATTGTTGTTAAATATATTACTTTTATTTTTATTTTTTTGTTAATTAAGAGTGAATACTGCTCTCCCGGTTAAAGGGTATTAGGTAAAAGCATAGGATATCCCGCCTTTGCCTCGTTCCCATTGGCTGCGGAAACTCAGCGAGAGCTACAACTGGCGGAAATCCCATTCAGTCATTATAGCTCCCTTTGGCTTTTCTGGCTTGACAGCTGTCACTGTACGCCGAGGTCAAGGGGAGAGAAGCATGGCTGCGTTGTTTAGAGGGTCGCGAAATGTATTGTTAAGGTGGAATAAGCATGTCGACCTTGCCTTCGGTAACGTATTCGCTTATGTTGTCAGTGTCCGTGTGCCGCTTTTTGTCTGTTTATGAATGCGTGTTCAGAGGAAAATGCAGCCTGTGTTAGCTAGCTTACTTTCTGCCCGTGCTAGTTTAGTTAGCCTGGACACAATGTCCCCGAGTTGCCCACCTACTGGCCATTGCTTCACAGTGAAATGTGAAGCAATGGCCGGCTAATTTTAACTGGCATTGATCTCGATAGACCTGTAGCTGGCCAGCATAAGATCTGCACTGGGTTCTATGAGTGTGCTTTACGTGTTGCTATTCTCAGTACAACAATTTGTCCTACACACATTTCTGGAGTAGCCTTGGATTGCATCTCTGCCACAAAGCCTTCTCTGTCCACTCCTCCGTACAATGCCAGACACAGCTGTGTTTTCTGATTCAGCAACAATGAATGTTGTTTTGAGTGATCCTAGTGAAGATGCTGAGTGAAATTCAGGGGTTACTTACATTATATTATATTTACAGTGGCCCCTTCTTAATTGCATACTCTCAGGTGTTGCAATAGTCAGTTTGCTGTGAACCGTTATTATATTTTTCTTTAATGTATCCTGGCATTGGCTTGCAATTCCAGTTTGGCTACAGGACTCAGGACTCTTTCTGTGAAGGTTACTTACTCTAAAGGCCCCAGTACAGTGCTTTCCCTGTTTCCCTGGTAATGCCCTGCAAAGCAGACATGGTCTCCTTGGCCCAGGCCTGTACTGCCAGTTTCAAAGTTCATTTTAAGTAATGCCAACAACTGCTTGGGTTAACATACTTCTGTGAACATTAGAATATAATATTTATTTTTACAAATGGACTGAATAAAGACTTATACTTATAAGAATAAAGAAACATACAAATTACCTTATACATCATAACTTACAATTAAATCAATTTAATCTGTGCCAGTGACTAGTAATGCTTATATCACATGTTAAGAGAAGCATTACTAAAATGATAAGTTAATCTAATTAACAACAAAAAGACAAATCAATCAATCATTAAATACAAAAAGCTTCCTGGTTTCTGCTTCTCAAAATGTGAGGGTATTTAGCTTTTCTCTTATGTCATTGTTAACTGAATTCAATTTATAATTGTTTGGGATGTTTCTCAAACAAAACACAAGATTTGAAGCTTGGAGAACTGTAGAAATGAATAGAAATAATCAACATACTAATTGTTAACTGAGATAATAATCTAATTACAGCCCTAGTTAAAGTGATTGTTTATTTCAAATGCAAGGCATGCCTGAGAATGTGCCTTCCATTTAGAGTTTGTTACCACTCCATGCGAAGGAAGCAACACCTGAAAAAAGTATAAAGTATATTTCTATTCTATGCCAGTGTCTGAGAATACTGTATCCTCTTGAAGGAAATGTTAAGTATCATAACTGAAGTAATAGCAATGTAGTATACAGTATATTTAGAAGGTTTGGCTGAATTTAAAGTAAGGCTTTCTGTTTAGGCTTCACTTTCCAGACCTAATCCTGTTGCAGTCTAGTTGTCACTCTGTTTAGTATATGTTAACCTGGCTGGACCTCGGCTGAGCCAGCAGTATTTAATAGCCTAACCAGACTGCCCAAAAGCTGGTTTAAGTTACAGCATTAAGATTTGCTTGTTATTGATTCCAATTAGAGCATTTTCTTGTGGCAGTAGCAGTTTTTTTATTGTTGCTTTTCACCGCAATTTAAGCATGAGCCATAGGGACCCACATTTTTCATAGCACTACTCATGGTAGAAAGTAGTCTTGCCTTAATTTTATGTAAAGCATTTTCTCCTCTGCAATACAAATAAACTTGCCTGGGTTTGCCTTGCTTTTCTTGGGTACGCAGAATCAAGCTAATCATCTACACTGTCACAAATAAAACTGATGTCATTACAGATAGCTACTGTATGTCATTGCACAAGTTTTGTCTATAGCCTTTCTGAACTATTGGTCAAGATATTGAGGTGTTTGTATTGCTCTGGGCTTCCACTAAGCAAAATGTCTCTTTTGTTTCCTTTTGTTTTACCTTACACCTCTAATGGCGTCTTTGTTATTCTCCCTCAGTGTCATCACGATCAATGGCCTCAAAAACACCAGTGGGGTTTATTGGTCTGGGAAACATGGGCAGTCCCATGGCCAAAAACCTGTTAAAAAACGGTTATCCTGTTATTGCCACTGATGTCTTCCCTGAGTCTTGCAAGGAGCTGCAGGACACTGGTGCCCAGGTAACACTCAGTCAGTAACACATCACATATGGAAATTTGAACTTTTGATAGAATATAAGATTTAACATTTAACAGGCCGATTTAGCTAAGAATACACTCCATATTGATCCATTCATTGAAAGTCACTGCTGTCTTTCTTTAGAACAGTTACTTTGCGTCTGAGTGAGCATATTGTCATAAATACTAACATATGATACGTTGCTTTTTATTCATGAAGGTGCTTATTTTGTGTTGCCAACGTGATGATACTGTGCAATGATGACTCCAATATTCAGGTAGTAGACTCTCCAGCAGATGTGGCCGAGAAAGCAGACCGCATCATCACTATGCTGCCCTCCAGTCCCAACGTCATAGAAGTCTACATGGGCCCAAATGGCATCCTCAAGTAAGCAAACTTTAGTATCACAGGCTCGGATTTTGACATTCACACTACCCAACCCTACCTCTGTAAAGACAGCACAATTGCCAGGTGTTTAATTTACAAACAAAAATACAAAACATATTGTATGCTCTCTACATTAAGTTTTAATGCTTTTTGTCTTGCCCTCTTAAGGAAGGTGAAGAAGGGAACGCTGCTGATTGACTCCTCCACCATCGACCCCGCCGTCTCAAAAGAGATGGCAGTAGCTGCAGACAAGATGGGGGCCGTGTTCATGGATGCTCCAGTGTCAGGAGGTAATGTGTCACAAAGAAAGTCCGTCGCTCCATATTTGATTTTAATGATTCTGTGTAGCTAACTTTTGTAATTTTGCTTTTGCTGCTTTGTATAATGGCAAATATTCATCATATTCCATTTCACAGTCAGTGGTTGCTTTTCATAGAGCTGAAGATGATGTTGAAAAGAGCATATACATTTTTTTAAATGTTATTGCAGGCATTTAAAAAAATGCCTGCAATTTTTTTTTTCTTTCTTCAAGACCATTTCCATTGGTCAGGCAGTATAGAAAGGGCTTGAAAGTAGATGGCACAATCAAAAGCAGAATCGGACTGCTAGTTTGTTCATTTGACAATACCAATCATAGTGTTAGGCCTATGATCCCCTCTTAGGCTTACTTCTGAACTGTCTTAAACTCTTCTGTATATCTAAACTATGGGACCTTTTGGGTTAGTGCTAGGACATGGGTTGTAATTACTGAGCGGGCCAGTCAGTAGGTGCCCTCTTAAGTTTTATTGCTGCTTTTGACCAGGGGTCTTAAAGGCAAGGTTAAGGTTTTAAGTCCTCATTATGTTGGTGCTGTCTGCTTGTGACGGCTTCTTGACAGAGCACAGGATCACCAGTCGTCCTTAATGGGCTGAGCCGCAGCGGAGAATCCCGTGTCAGAGCTTTTCATGTTGATGGAGCCATAATGGCGGGTATCCCATGTTAGTGCCTTTCATGTCAGATAAAGAGTCATAAAGAGGAGAGAAACTGCCCTCACATGGCGTGCAGGGGAGGAGAGGAGGGAGATAAGACATGAAGGAGACACATCGCAGTAAAACTGTCCATCTCTCTTTTTCTCTCCCCCCCCCCCCCAACACACACACACACACACACACACACACACACACACACACACACACACACACACACACACACACACACACACACACACACAAAATTATTTTCATTCAGGTATGCAGCTAAGGTATGCTTCATCCTGACACTCCTGCACATTTGACTACTAACTGATCATGCTCTATTTGCTTTTAATACACAATCTTTAATTCATGCACAATACTCTCTGTAGCTCCCGCCCTCTCCCATACAAACACAGACTTGGCCCACACTGGCATGTTTACCAGCTGGCGTCTACAGAACAGACCAACTGAAGTCAGCGAGATCAGAGCCTTAAGCCTGTTACTCTCCCTTAACACACACTGTTTACATACTGTAGAAAGTGCACAGTTTGTGTGTGCAGTCCTCTGTGAAGGTTCTTCCTCTCCTGACTCTCAGCTAAGCCTCTTTTACTAGCCTGAGATAACCAATGATTTACCTGCTACCTCTGGCCTCTGCAAACAGCTCTGCAGACACTGTTCTTTCACACGCAGATATACACACATGCTGCATGCAGCCGCCCACCCAGTGCCCATCCGAGACCAACGTATGTCATATCCATAAGTGCACACAGCTCTTGTAGACTTTCTATTATTGTAAATGGAAAATCTTTGGGGTTTGGAATGTTGGCCAGATAAAACAAGTACTTTGGGTTCTTTAATGGGCATTTAGCAATATTTCCTGACATTTT